CCACAAACATATATCTCAACGGTGTTATCATTTTCAGATGGAACCACAGAGATAAGGGAAATCACAATGATGAGGGAAGGGGAGAGAGGGACACCATTTTGCCCCTTGCGTGCAAAGTTATGTCAGAATGTGCAATGCAAGCATGAGATGCTGCTGGTGATAAAACTATCTGAAGCCTGGAATTCCCATAACTCAGGATAAGGTTCAAGATAACACATGCAAATAATGCTACAGAGGTTATAAAATCAGCAAAAAGCTTATGACATGCCTCTTGTCTACATTGGTACTATATTCCACTGTAGTGTACTGTACTGTATTGTATTGTAGCATATCATGGCATGCACTTACCAAGTGACGAAAGGTTCTCAACAGTGGTGGCAACTTTCAGAAACTTATCTGGGTTAGAGATGTCCAACTGAATGATTCGAAAATCCTTACACTTGATGATCAGACTTCCCCCCTGCATTCCACTGATTCTCCTTTCCACTGCATCCACATTATGGTGAAGGAGCTGCACAAGAGACAGAAATGACTTATGATTTATAATATATATAATTAGTCTGTATCAACTGCCTAAGTTATGTATCACTGGCTGACATGTGATGTAGTGCACGGATGAATGAAATCTTTGGCTCTGGTGTGAATCTGGCACAAGCTGCAATTTTGGCTGGCACTGCTGATTTATTGGTTCTAACAATGACTGCTTTCCAATAATTCAATTTACATTTACATTTATATTCACTTCATGGATCCAATCATCTCCCCATAGGGCTGGATATAAAACATGTCACACCTTATAAATTCATGATGACTACACATCATACGTCCTTGGCCCAATAAAATATATAATCAGACCTCACGCAGACAGCACAAGTTGTCAAGACTACACACATAGGCGGTGGAAAAAGCCACACGCACACACACACACACACACACACACACACACACACACACACACAGGCCAGCCATATCATCAATACAGTTTCATTATAACATATTAAAATTCATAACAAACACAGATATCATACGTACTGCCACAATTACAACAAGCAAGTCTCAACAACGTATAATATACGCACACAGACCATTTATTACAGCCTTCCTCTTTTTTTTTATGTATCTATTCCAAATACCTAAAAGTACAGTTATCCACAGAAAGGTAAGTATAAAAACAGTTGTATACAGTTGTATTTTCTTCAATACCATGTATTATTAATCATTCCTGTTTGTCAAATACATACAATAAGACAAAGGAAGCTGCCTCAAAAATAAATTCTGTGTGATCTGTGTTCCTCTTCAAACAGTCAACTGTGGGAATTTTGTCATTACTCCAATGACAACCCACTTCTTCAGAAAGTTTGTAGGTCCTGAAAAGGACCGTTGGCTGCTGGTATGTTTGACCGGTGAAGTAGCACTACGTATGCCAGTAGAGATGAGATGTTGGTTGTGGTGTGTCGACTAATGTTGCAGCAGCTGAGTGACTTGACTGGTCACAGTGCGGCAGTTGCCAGGAGTTGCCTGGTTGCTGGAAAACGTTTGCTTGCGAAGTGCGGTCGCAGGGGTGGAGAGGCAGTAGCTACGCCAGTTGCCCAGTGAGTCGGGCATGACCGCCAGGGAGTCCAGGCAGCCGAGTTACCCAGTGAGTCGGGTGTGACCGCTGGACAGCCGAGGCAGTCGTGCCTGGCGCAGCGCAGAGCCAAACACTCCAAAGACCGAGCGCTGGCGACGAAGTGTGCTGTTTGTAGACTGCTTGAAGACTGCTTGAGAACTGATGCTGCTGGGTTGGAGCCGCGCCCTTTTTATACAAAGCGTGATGGAGGAGCGAAAATTTGCTGAGCGCTGATTGGCTAGCGCATGTAACGACTAGACAGAGAGTGCAGTATAAATGTGAGTGTTGGAAGCAATTTGATTGGTTAGCGCGCGTGATGGTGAAAAGTGAGCACTGTAGAAATAGCATGATAGTATGTGGGATGTTCCCACACAACTACAAAGAAACTCATATATGAAGACCTTCTTATAAATGTACAGCAGCAGAAAACACATTATGTTTGCTAGGGCAGAAATGAAGCAACGAATATGTGTGGAAACACATTTGGCACCAGACAGCGACAAGGTTTGGCATGCCTATACTGGTAGAAAGATGAATCTCCCACAAAGCAGCATGGCTCAAGAGGCAAAGTTTATGAACTGTATTTGAGAGGTGACCAACTCAAATCTCACTTGGTGTATCATCTATTCTGACTGAGATTTCCCATGCTTTTCCTCAGTCTGGCAAGGCAAATACTGGGATAGCATCTCAAATTGTGCTGCTCCTTCCACATTCTTTCCACTGCATTACTCATTAAATCATCCTTCCATCTGATGCTATACAGCCTGAGATACTGAGAGCACTGTGATATAAACCACACTTAAAGAAACAGTTGTCTCTCCATGAAGGTCCAAAGACCTTACATATGTAGGGTAATTAACACATGACAATGTGAATGCTGATTAGGTCTGACACTCAATTTAAAGGCATGTATGATATGTGACTGTTCCAACATTGAGACTGTGGGCTTGAATCCTGCTCAAGGCATGGATACATGTCAGTATTTTCTTGTCCTGTAAGACTATAGGTTGAGACCTGGGCATGGCTGGATCTTCTGACAAAGGGTTCCACCAAATGTTCATCAGTTCAGAGCTTCGGAATAAACTGTCATTAAAACAGACCAGGGGGTCTGATATATGAAAAGTGAAGAAGAAAAAAACAAAAGTCACATATTGGTTTTCCATCGCCTTGGTTGGAGCTAGTGTGAACTTCAAAGCTCTTAGTCACCTTAAGCTAAAGTATCACTGCATAAAATATGGTTACCTTATTATTTAAGATTAAGCCTAATGTGTGAAAATAAAGAAATATATGAAAGAATTCAAACATAAATAGCCTTCTGTTCAATGGGAGCTCCATCCCTGGGGATAAGGCAGCAGGGGCAAAAAGCTGGCCATTCATTCTATCTAGTGTTGAGGTTAGAAATGGTGGAGTTATACCTACACTTCTTCATATACCTTCATGATGTGGTGCTTAATTATTAATTACACACATACACACAACATTATGTTTTTGCTTTTGCTACTATATTCCTGGCTAAAGCATAGTCTGTAGTGTGGCCTTGTAACTTCTGTATTAGAAATGTTCTTAATAAGAAGAGTAAATATACAGCAAACAGAGTGTATTAAAAGGGCACTGAGGATCTGGCATTTGTCATCCCAGTCAGTACAATATATCCTGTTGCAGCACTAACCACCCTCACATGGCCTCTGTACAACTGACCTCATTTGTACAAAGCTCACTGATACTGGCAGTCACTGACAACAAGATGATAACAAGCTGAGAGGACTGCATAGAAATATGCACTTTCTGAACCTTAGCAACTTTCTTGCACTCCTTTTTATACTTTCACCAACAGGAACAAATTACAGGGGCCATTTTTATTTTCTGCTCCTACATGCTCACCATAAGAATATGCAAACACACCACGCGTTTTAGAATTCTGTTCAATTATGAGAGTTTTAACCTCTTTCATGCCAGCCATCAAATATCAATTAATGTATATTTTTCATGAAATTGCATACATGTGCATGTGTATGTGTGAAATTTGGCACTGTAACACATTACAAATATGAATACAAACATTCTATAAACTTCTGTGTGGTTGGTCATGTTTGGCCTGAAGAAATATAGAAACCTAACTAACTTCTTGGAGCAGAGTCCTTCTTGAGAAACTGGCAGTAGCTCAGCTACTCAAACAATCTGGTCCACACCTTCCTGCCTTATTTCTATTAGAACAATTTTAATACTATCCTCCAATCTGTGCCTAGTTCTTCCAAGAAATCTCTTTCATTCAGGATTACTGACAAAAATTCTGTATGCATTTCTGATCTCTACCATGCATGCTACATAAGCCACCCACTTCATCCTCCTCAATTTGATCATCCTAACACTACTTGGTGAAGAATACAGATTACAAAAGTTCCATCATGTGGTTTCCTGCAACCTCCTGACATTTCTTCCCTTCTAGGTCCATATATTAGTCAGTAGAGAGTACAAATTATGACAATTTTTCATGCAATTTTCTTCACCCTCCTCTAAAAAAAAATCGCTTAGTGGGGGATGGAGTCCAACTGGGTCCACTCGGCACGGTGGCCACTTATTAGCCTATTGTAGCCTGCCGCAGCTGATTATGATGATGGAGAATTTTATGGAATGAAGATTGGCAGGGGAAACCGAAGTACTCGGAGAAAACCTGCCCCCACACCACTTTGTCCACCATAAATCCCACTTCACCAGACCTGGGATTGAACCCGGGCCGCCGTGGTGGGAAGGTAGCGACTAACTGCTTGTGCTATGGCGTGGCCGCACCCTCCTCTACTTCCTCTCTAAGGTACAAATATGTGCAGGTGTATCCTAACATTCTGAGATATGAAACAGGAAGAAAAAAATTGCAAAATGAATGGTAACAGTAATAGGGTAATTCACATGAAATCAAACAATTTCCTGTAACATATTTTCAAGCCACAAGCTGTTTCTTTTATTTTCTCATACCTGAAGTATGAGAAAGCAGTGTGATCTTGAAAAGAATCAAGTTCTTTCTCCATTACAAAGACCACTGAATTAATGCTGTTTAGGGCAGTGTTTCTCAACTCCATTTATACTGTGAACCAGTAAAATACCTAAATTCTTTACCACAGAACCAGTGATACAATACAGGTATAAATATAGATTAAATTCTTAAACATGAGGTTTGTGCTACACACGCATACATATACACATATTATTTGAAGCAAGCCTGCAACGCAAGGCACTGGTCATAGATGGAATCACATTTCCTCAACAGTTTTAAGAAAGAGAAGAATTTCGGTTGTTAAAGTTCTTTTCGTCAAACTTTGCTACAGACCCATGCTGCTCTGTTGAGAAACTTTGCTTTAGGGGACTAATCTAGTTCCGATAATCATATAAAATATATAAGTACACTGCATTGGCAAAATAAATGTTAAAGTGGGTGGTACACACAGTTACAACTGTTATAAATGGTTGAAGGTGGTGCAGGAACTGAATGACGTCCTGTGGATAGGTCAAGTACACTGCTTCACCACCCCTGTCAGTACTGTGAAGACAAACAGCCTAATTCAGAAAAATTACAAAGTAACACTAGATGTCAGTTGGCTGCCATAGGCATTCCAGACAGACACTTTCCTGCATTCTGCATGATGACCTCAGATATCAGCAGAGTGTATTACTACAATCATTGCGTTTCTGGACGTTATCCATCATCCTGTTTTTATTTAATACACAACATTTCAGAGACTGGACTCTGTCTCTGATTTCAAATGGAATCTACTCACTTGGGCCCAATCGACAGAGCTAGTCCCTACCTCTGGACACCTGCACCAACACAAGATAAGGTATACAGACCAAGCACAACAACCACCTGCAAGAGTTAAGACAAAACATTAAAAAAAACTCCACACGTATGAGGTCTAGCACCGGAGTACTATCAGAATAGATGTCCTCACTAGAAAGATAAATTCTCTGTATGGTACCAACATAAAACAAAATTTTTCAACTTCATCTACACTGGATGGAGCTGTAGTTTTCTGACTTCTGTTGCAATAATGGGAGTCCAGATGGGAGAGATGAGCAAGCTTGGTTGATTGATCATATGATCTATCAGAGAGGTAGAATTCCATAATATTCTTAACCTCAAAACTAGAAGCAGAGTAGTCAATTTCACACATCAGTTGCTTTATCCCCATGAAGAACCACCAGCACCCATTAGACATGAGGCTGGGTGTACCACAGAGCCAGTTTAGACACTATGGAGAGTAGAAAAAACCTCTTATTCCTGCCAAGAATCAAACTCCAATTCCTTGGCCATATAGCCTGTAGTCTACTCACTATAATGTCTGAGCTATACCAGCTACTACAGGTAAGACATGTAAGATCTAAAAGAGACATACAACCATGTGATATGATCATCATTTCATGAGTATCCAGTTCTAATCTTGACCAACATACCAGATACTGATTGTGTGGCTTGTATGGTTTCCGTCAAGATATGTAGGAAGGTACCATCAAACTAGGCCACATTACATGTAATCATTACAGACATTGACTGTACCTCAAGGCTAAGTGGTTAACACTCCTGCTTCATAATTGGGAGGTTGCAGGTTCAAATCTTGGCCCAGAGATCAACTAACCTGTGGGTGTCATGGTTTTCCTCAGTCCCTAAAGGCAATTGCCAAAATATTACCTCAAATTAGGCCATGATCACTTCCTTCAACATCTTTTACAATTCATTGTTAATTACTCACCTAACCATTCAGCACTGTATAGTCTAAGGTACAGGAAGTATCATCATGGGATGCCCTGCATAAATCAACATGGCATGGTATACAAGTAAACCACCATACAATTTGCAGATATATTTTGGGGACTGGACCAGCAATATTCACTGTGTAAACACTTTTCATGCCAATGAATCAAGTGAACTGATGTGACTGGTTGACTGTTGTGGTAGGCCTGCCAAAATTTAATGTGGTCAACACTCAAAGGCTGGGTGAAACTTGAGGCAGCCGCAAGGGTCGTTAAATGCCCATTACTTTTAACCTAATCCAATCAACAGACCAGATTGTGTGGGTGAAGCATCCGACCCTTCTGACTGAATCTGAGCCCACAAGAAAATCTCAAGCACTACTAAGTACAGAACTTTATGTTCAACAGTTTGAGCTTCACAGCTCAGGCATCAAGTACTATTTTGCAAGTATCAGTCAGCCTTTTACACTCAACCTGTTCATTTGTTCACAGCATATATTGCTTGGCTTCAAAGTTGAACAGTTAATAAACATGAAGGACAAATTATAGGCATGATAACTGAAGGGCAAAATATATATGTGGTAACTGAAAGGCAAATCATACATGTGAAAATTGAAGGGTGAATTATGCTTGTGACAACTAATGGGCAAATAATGCTTGTGACAATGTAAGAGCACATAATGCATGCAGTAACTAAATGATAAACTACAAATGAAGTAACTGAAGGAAAAATTTTAAGCGTGATAATTGAAGGGTAAATTAAAAATATAGCAAGTAGATGACAAATTAATACTTGTACACGTGGTGACTGTAGGGCAAACTATAAATGTGGTAATTACCCAGAGTTCCTCAACACTCTTTCCTAGTGGACAGTATGAGATGGTGACCTGTGATGCAGAGTGTGCCATCAACTGGTTTTTGGAATGGCCAATGCATTGTGACCCCATCAAGCTTAGGGACCAGGATCAGCTCAGCAAACTCCATGGCTGGCTTCAATCCAAACTGCTCTGCAGCTCTGACTCCTGGGAATAAACAAAGACCACAAGCATTTCAATGAGAGTGCCAAGTCAGATGGAACTGCGCTATAGAAATAGAAATGTGTGTGGCCAGCACTTCAGGCTTTATATAACTGCATTTTACAGATGTGTGCAAGCAACAAGTCAACATACACATTTCAAGCTGCATTAATCCATGAATGTTATAGAATGTAAAATGTTTAATGAGATATGAGCTTCTTACAGCACTGACTATTGAGATGTGATGCCGTGGATTCTGGTATAAGTTTATCTATGTTTTGGAAGAACACAGTGCTTCCACCTTCAGTGTCAAAGAGTACACCAAATAACCAGAAAGCTTAGTAAGCAAGCATGGATAAAGGAATGCATATACATGGTGTCCTAGAAGGAAAGGTCAATATTCTGGGAGATCATAGTATCAGTCATTCTAAGAAGAAAAAAAAGTGTATATGTACATGTGGCCTATTCCATGCGGTTTCTGAGATGGAGCTATGGATGTTACTACCCACATAATGGTACGCCAGGATGCACTCAGATGAGCAACATGTGATATCCTCACACAAGTTGCAAAGTGCACTGATGGTGATGGTGTAATTTTTGAAAATGTATTATACTAGGAAAACTGTACCAACTTTGTCATGTGAACAATAAATACCAGTATGAGAAACAGTAGGTAATATCTCTTTCTTATCAACAATTTTGGAACTGTACAGCAAAACAGCTCTATCTTGTAAAACGTTCAGAATAGGTCACATGTATATGTACACTTCTTTGCTTAGAATGACAAATACTATGACCTCCCAGAATACTGACCTTTCCTCCTGGGACATCCTGTATATAAGACTGTGTCAGGGGCCCTAAGTGAACCAATAAGAGGATGGAGAAGAGGGGAGGACCTAAAAAAGGCTAGATTTGTCCAAATAGTCATTTCAAGGTATTTAAGAACCTGCACAGTTGCTTGAAACGCAATAAAGACATTGCTCTGCACCAAAATGACAAATATTATACACAGTCTCTCAATAATATGCCGATGATGCACCCCACTCAAAAATAACATCTTTGACTCAAATGTAAATCAAATGTTGGCTTCTGCGCTTTTAGTACAAATAAAGATTCTTTGCCAAACTGAGAGTTTATCTAACAGTTTCCACATGTAGCATTTGATTGTCAAAAGTTCATCAGGATCCATGCTCCTGGAGGAAAAACTCACTGGCTCCATGTAGTAGAGTCCTTCAGTCTCTCAACCAGTCCTGCTTTCTGAGATGCTGGCCAATCAAGCAGTCAGAATGCTCTATTTGCTTGGCTTACTCTTCCACTCTGAAGACAGAGTCAGTATGTTCCTCCAAAACTTCGGTAACATCTACCAGACTATAAGGCGTCAAATTCCATAAGATAGTTACCACTGTGAGAACCTCAAATCTCACATTTATTACCACATTCACGACAGAAATTAATCAAGTCCACACCCTCACAATCAATTTTTTAAATCCATTTTAATACCATCAACCTAGCTATGCACAGATATTCAAAGTGATCCCTTCCCTACAGACTTTCTGACCAGAGACTGTGCATAATACTTCATAACATGCAGAGTTTTTATGGTGAAAAGTAGATAATGCCTCATTCAACCTTCAGCTAGAGGACTACTCCTCTCAGCTACTGACTACAGTCTAACCAATATATTTTCAGCTAGCCTATTATTATTATTATTATTATTATTGGAGGGGGTGGGTTTCCCCATGCACCGCGACCAGTTTGATCTACTGTACGTCCCCCTGTGATATTCTACCAGTCTCTATACCCTACTGGTACTGGTGCATGCCATCAGTCCCAACTCAGCTAGCGAGTTCGGTCTCTACTGGCTCAGCGATATCTAGATGCTTCCCCCATCTACCAGAGGCGTTAGAGACTACTGTTGAGCGGGAAATGTCCTTACAAATTTGGCTCAGAGGTCTCCTTGAGACACGAGGTTCTTTTACGTGCCGTAAAGTTACGACACGGGACCCACGGCTTAAAGTCCCTCCCGGAGGACTTGTTCCCTGAATTTTTCCGCCCTTAAAAATTCCACGACCTCCGCCGGGTTTGAACCCATGTACCTTGAGTCATGAGGTGGGAACGTTACCCCTAGACTATGGGGGCCGCTTGCAGCTAGCCTAACTTTTCCATCTGCATCCTGAGGAAGTACCATCATATGGAGACAAGGTGACCGTTTCATATGGTTAAGAGATAATGCACATATAAGTTTCCAGGCACACATATACATCTCATGAAATTGTAAGACTCATGTGCGTGTATTCAAATGTAAAAGGCAAGTAAAAATTAAGTAAAAAAAGTTAGCATGAAGTCCCAAGAAATCTATTATAAGGACAGAAATTTTGGAGTTATGTTATTTTAATCTCTTTTGTGTCCTTCACCACATACACTTTATAAATAGTAGTTCAGGGCTGTATGAAGTTGGGTTCATCAGAACGTGGCCTTTATTTTGTCATGTAGTTCATAATTAATATAAACATTTAATCAATGTTGTGTTCGGTGAAAATCACAAAATTTATATTCTTTAAACAACAGGCATGATGAACTGGGATTCTTGGCTGATTTAACAACACTTTATCAACTGATTATGTATGTGGTGTCAATTTTCTTTTAGTTAGCTATTTTGCGATGCTTTCAGCATTATGGAGCATATAGCAGCTAATGGTAGGATCGCAAATGAATGATGAATTGAAAATAATTTGGAAGGATGAAGTAGTAGCCGAACTGCGGTACTATTTGTGGATTTGCATGGATGGAATGAGGAAAGCCATGAGAAATCACAGTCAGGACAGCTACTGTCTTGGCCCAGACTAGAACCAAGCACCTCCTAAACACAAGACTGAAGCATTAATGCTATGCAAGCCTGTTCAGCTATACTATCAAGTGGTTCCATCATCTGAGGATGGTAACTGGAAAATTATGTGAAAGGACATGGTCATGGCCTACTTTAAGACACAACATAAAAGACGTCGAAGCACTAAGACTGTGAGGTTGTCTACACCAGCAAAATTACAAGCAGTCACAGTGACAACATCAATAAAATCGCTTACTAAATTGTTGATATACATCCTTCACATAATGAGCTTTGATGTCCGTCCCATAAACCTTTCATATATGAAGCCAAATAGATCACACTGTAAAGGGAGATGACTATACATCTGTAATCTTCAAAATATTGTAAACTCTTACCCAGAGTATTCAAAATACAACAGTTGATTGGTCCTATTGAACTAAGGAAATCTATACTGTGAGTTATTTTTGAAATGCATACAAGCCAATAATAAGTGATGGAGAAAATGTAAAAAATTGAGACAGTTGAAAGGCACACATCTCAAAGTATTATCTGTATACAGTATTGCAGTTAAGTTCAGTCCTTAATTCTTGGTAGTTTTCAATTGCATAAAGCAACTTTAAAGCGTTAGTAACACTAAGTTTAACAGTGTGTATTACAAGCATGCATATGCATATTTCTTTTTAGATGTTTTGAAAGTGTGTCACTTCATGTAATTCTGAAATGTACAATTAACAGAATATTACACATGAACTTGAAGCCTGATTAGTCAAACTGACATACTACGAAATGCATGCAATAGGGCAGTGGTTCCTAACCTGCCCATGCAAAACGTTTGGAAATCATCACATCAGATTGTATACGGCCTCCTTGAGGACTATCACAGGTCAAAGAGTAGGGGCCAGACAAAGTGTAGTCCCTGATCTTTCAAGCTGGGGGGTTCAGCATGGAGCTAATGACCCCACAATTTAAAAATTCACTGTTACAAAACACTGATGGAGGCCAGGACCCAAATATGGCTGTAGCACCAGTAAAAAAGAAGATTATATATGTATACTTATAACAAAGAATTCCAGTTTACAGTAAAGTCATCAGCACTGGTAATGGTTACAAACAGAAGCAGAAGATGACAGTAATAAATGGTAGTGAAATGCATGTTGGTATTGAAGGGTCCACATTTTGTAAAAAAAAATTTAAAGGGTATTTCTAGACAACAGCGCTGCTAAGCGCATGCTGTCTGTTGTTCTTCCAGGCTCAGTACCTTGCTATATATGTAGCTGTCTTTCCATAACATCTCAGGTCATAAATATCGGTGTTTTTGATGAGATTTGTTTTTATAGAAAAATGTATGGCACACTCAAAGTGACTGCTTTCACACTAAAGGTTATGCACCAGCTTCAATACTAATGCTGATAACAACGATTTCTGTGGGCTTTAGTAGCAGTTTACTTATAACATGGACTGTTAGCCTGATTACTTCAGTGTTCAGTGCTGCTTTCATTAGCATACTTTTTTGTGGGCTACTTTTTGATGCTGTCAGGAGCTAGATCAAAGAGCATCAAATGGTAGGATGGCAGATCAGTGAAGAAACTGAAAGGATTTAAAAGGAACCAGCTGTGGCTTAATCAAGGTATTGCCTTGGAATTTGCATGGAGGGACTGAAGAAATCCATGAAATACCTGTCAGGACAGCTAACATCCCTACATAGATTTCAACAAGGACCTCATGCATATGATTCAAGAGTGTTACTGCAAAAATGAACCATTTGGCACAACTATTACTATTACCATTATCATAATGATGCAACTGAATGTGCTGTTATACATGAGATTAAAATACAGATCAGATATTTGGTTGGACTGCCCTCTTTTCCTTAGTCAAGGAAGAATTTCAAACTGCCGAAGCTGGTTTCTGGGACTGGCAGTTTTTATCCCAAGAGAACAGGAGCCAATGTATGTGTAGCATCAGTCATCAACAGGAATTTGTTATTGTTATGGCTGTATTCAGTTCTATGATGTGTGTATTATTTATATACGAGCAAAAGAAATTTCAGTAATTGGACATACACATAAGAAAAAAGTTTCTTTAGCATATGCATAAATATATAAATGTGAATATTTTAAAAGTCTTAAACCTATTACTTCTGAATTGAATTACTGTACTATTATCGTATTCTTCTTGAAACAAGATGATACATATGCCTAATAATCAGTGTTCTACACCTTGAGCTATATGGTGTAAAACATGACCTGATTAATAAAATGAATTCATAAAGTACAGACCCAACAAAGCAAATGGTATACTTCACAAATCATCCATAGTTGATGCAATGTTACAGTTTGAATTTGGACAAGGGAATCAGAATAGATTTGTAACTACAAGTCCAGCAAGTGTAACTAGTTTAACAGGCATAAGTTAATTTTGGCTTCACATGTTTTTCCTTCATGAAAATATAGTGCCAACTTACGTTCCATCAACATATGTAAAGTAGCTCCTTTACAGTGTTGCCTATGTCTTCTGATGCTGGCCAATAGTGACCAACACATGTACAAGGCAAGTCTTCTGCTTACTACTACTAAACCAGACACCCTTCATGGACTTGTACTACTTATTTATATTTGGATATTGAGAGGTGTAACACTTAAGATGTCTTTCATACAGAAGAAGAATACTTTAATAGAATTTATAACTCTTAAATTTAACAGATGGGGGGAATGCAGCAAAGTAATTGGTTGAGGTACTATGCTACAAGCTGGAAGGTCATGGGTTTGATTTCCGATGAGGTCACTGGATTTTTCAGTTTATCCAATCCTTCCAGCCACACTATGGCCCTGGAGTCGACTCAGCCTCTAACAAAAACGAGTACCAAGAATTTTCCTGGGGGTAAAGGGCAGCTGGTGTGTATGGCTGACAACCTCACAGCCATCTGTGAACCGATTGTGTATGTGGGAACCTTGATATCTCATAACCTTATGGGCCTCCATGGCCTGTTACAGGGATACCTTTGCCTTGTATTTGTTTTATGTCTATCAGCTTAAAATAGTTTAAATTCTTAATCATCTCCTCTTGAAAAGTGTCCTGCAGTGACAGGGTAATGCACTAGCAAGTTAGACTGTTTTTGAAAATAAAAGAGGGAAGGAATATGCATAGGCTTAGATTCCTAAAAAAATACCTCATTTTTAACTTAACAAAACAGAAGCCAAAGAACTCAGCACTAGACCCTAGAAGTCAGTTCAGTTCAGTTCAGTTCACATCTTCACAGCTCCATTCTCTAAGAAAAATGTTTTATTTCTTTTTGGTTTCTGAATTTGTCTGTATCCTAAACTATATGAAATTAAATGACAGGCTGGATGGTGATTAATGAACTGGAAAAGTTTTAGGTAGAAGCAGTCCTGACCTGATCAAGGTAATATCATGGTATCTGTCTGGTAGGAGTGAGGGAAAGCACAAAATACTTCAGTCATGACAGGTGGTATCACTCCCAAGATTTGATCACATTACCTTCAGAATACAAATCCAGAGTCTTACTGCTATATTAACTACCACAGTATTATCAGATTCATTACAATTCTTCCATCTATGCCTAGATCTCCAAAATAATCTCTCCCAAGTTTTCAGTCATAGTATGCATCCTTCAGCTCATAATTTTGGAAAGCATTTCCTGAAATGAAAACGATGTGGAACTGCTACTGGCATTTGATGACTTTATCATGGATGGTTAGTTGTGCAAGCCTCACAAGGTAGCAAGTCAATCTTGGGCAATGTGCCTCATACAATGTAAAGTGTCAGATTTTCTTTGTGAGCCAAGGAAAATATTGTGACGTACTTGCGTTATGCAGGACACCCCCTCCCCTGTCAGCGGTGATGTAACACCTTTGGAGCGTTGCCGCTGCTACGGTAACAGGCCAGTCAACACCCCCCCACCCCCTCCCCCGGTGATGTTACCAAGGGATGCCACGGTTGCCAAAGAGCAGTTAACAACTCTCGACAGTGTTGCTAGGCAATCTGTAAACACGGCGTCAGGCAACAGCGGTACCTATCACGTAACTGTTTTCTGTGTTGTCCGTACCGAGGCTAAATAAGTAGCAGCGAACACTATTTAGGAGTTGAGTTTCAATGTAGCGATCGCTGAGTTCAGTGATTATTGATTATTGAGCCAGTTACTAGTGAGTATATACTATATCAAGTAAGGCGTGAAGTTATTTGTTGTGTGACATATACCCAACACGTGACAATATTATATTTATTTAAATACATGTGTGGTAACACAAAATTTCCATTGTTTATGTAAGATAACCATGTTCATAGAGCTCAGAGGATTAAACAAGCTGTGAAACAAACCACAAGATACATGCTAGTCTGTAGGCATGTGCATTAGTGTAGATGTCATGTTACCAATTCAGATAATGAATTATATAGACATGAGGTGTTTTCAAACAAAATGGCAATTTTCTATTGGTATATTATGCCTATAGCTGCGCAAAATGTGAACTACATGCTTCATTAGCAATATAACACATATATCCATGTGTGCATATATGAGTGTGTGTGTGTGTCTGTGTGTAAATAGCCCAACATCAAATCACTGCATTAGAGAACAGGATGCTGAACAGAATATTTTTTGGACCTATGAGGGATGAAATAATGGGAGGCTGGAGAAAACTACCTAATGAGGAGCTTCGTAACTTGTACTCTTAACCAAACATTATTGGAATGATCAAATCAATGAGGATGAAAACAGTATGCCATGTGCACATACAAAAATTTGGTGGGAAACCCTGAAGGAAATGACCACTAGGAAGAACTAGATGTAGATAGAGGGATACTATTAAAATGGTTCTTAAAAACATGATGTGAGGGAAGTAGACTGTGTTCATCTGGCTCAGGACAGGCAGTTGTGGTGAACTCTTGTGAACACAGCCATGAAACTTCAGGTTCCATAAAATGCTTGGAATTTCTTGAATGACTAAGCAACTACTAGCTCTTAAAGAAAGACTCAGTGTAGGTTATATAACAAGGACCAAGTGGACAAGCCAGTCAGTCAGAGGTCAGAATCGGCAGTTAGCAGTGAGTCTTGAGTTGTGTTGTTAGCAGCCACTACCTAGCAATGACTAATGAACAAACTGAAGACTTATAGTCATTTGTAGTTTCAAGTTATAATAAGCATTCAGTAAATCCAATTATCAATCAAAACCCCATGTATAATCTGTAACATATGATATTTCCATAATAAATGATCATTCAGGTGAATGAGGAATTTCAAATTGCAAAGAACAGAACTCCACTTTAGGATCCATCCTTCCAGCAAGTACATTTGCACATGCTGAGCCTGTCAGAGCCAGTCATGCTAACCAGACAGCTCTGCCTCAGAGATGATGCTGATGACAAGAAATGACTATCATGCTTTGATTTTGAAAAGGCACCTAATATTCAGTAGCACATCTGCCAGAAAGTGTACTGTCCTGAGAGGATTACATGTCCATACCAATTCCACATGCAAATTTATTTAAGCTACAGTAATACTCTGCAGTGACGTACATGGACAAAGCCTTCTATCTATTTCATATCACACAACCAAACTGGTTCAAGAGGTAATGAGTGACATGCAGTTGGGAGATGCCCTATATGAATCTCTGCTGGGGCACTGACTATCCTGACTGGCATTTTTCATGGTTTTCCTCAATCCTTACAAGCAAAAGCTGGAATAATATACCTTAAAATTAGGACACAACCATGTTCTTCCACGTCGTTTCCAATCCATCAGAACATATGATCATTCTATGAAAATATAAATAACTGTGATCCATCTAAAGGACTGTTATCAGAAGCAGTACAGTGTAAACTGATCACAGACTAACGTATGGACATGATTATTCAATAATGCACATTTTTATGGAATAACGAATACCTAAAAAAGACAGAACTGCAATAATGAGTTTAAATGCCTCCATTTCTCAGTTCTTTCTTTTGCTATGAGCATAAGTAAGGTAGAAGTGGTATCTATAAATAGATAAGGTCACAGGAGTTAAAACAAAAATAAGATCTGGTTGGCACATGATGCTCTCTACTGAATACAGTACTGTTTCTAAGATTTTAATTTTGTACATAAATTATCAACTTTACATCACATCATTTGGGGCTTTGAAGTCAATATGGAAAAGACCCCTTCAGAACTGAATGATTTCTGTGAGACTGTAGTCCCAGTGGAGGTAAGTATTCCTGTAACATCCGACTGCTCGTGGCCACTAAAATTTTGAAAGCAGAAATACAAAGGTGTCAAATAGCTGGTTTTGGGGGACAAGTTCTCCTACAGAAAGTGGCATAAATTTTACACTAACTGAGACATTTTATGCTCATGTCAAAGCAAATAAAATGTCCATTGCAATGACCTACTACACCAATATAATCTGCACAGCTATGTTTTCAAAGTCTTCAAATTTGAATTTTGACCTAGTATTTCTTAAAATGCAGTATTTATATTTTTGGAAGAAAGTTATTATATCCATGTGACTATTACCAGAACATCTGCAAATATTAAGTTGGGACTGCAATGGGACTAGGATCTGTGAAGCATTTTATTGTGAAGAGTCACTTCACTTGTACTGTTCAGGTGACTTAAGGCGATGTGTTTCTTTTAAATTCCTTTCATTTCCATGGTTTATGCTGACAGTCTTACAGTGTATACACTTTTTCACCTTATTCTTCACTTCCACACTACATGTTTCAGCACTAATGTGCCATCCTCAGGTGTCTTTCATTTATAAATTTAGGTTAATCTAAATTAACTATGGGTATATACTGAGAAATACTGGAATTTATGTAGTAAGATACCTTATTATGAAAAAGCTACTAGTATGAAAGCTAATATAAAGTTACTTGTATAATCTCATGATCCCCCAAAGGTAACAAGGCATTAGGGCAAAACACATTCTGTTTAGATAACTTACATAAGAAGCGTAAGGTTCTTCCATCCTGGGTAGTAGAAGATGTATGTTTTACTTCTCCCTGCTATTAACTTGCTGGCCTCTTCACTGGCTCAAGCCTATGTTATGTCCTGTTGCAGCAGATACTGCTGGTTGAGAAAGCCACAGAATATATGGCACAGCTGGATATATGTATAATGCAGAGAGTCCATGAGAACGAAGAGAACTTATTTTCATGTCATTTAATTCCTCACTGACAGACAGCACACAGATAAGTAGCAGAAATTACCATACACAGATCACAAATCCTGTGATGTCTTTCAAACACATCTTTCAGCACACTAATCGTATTGATCTCTGTATAGTTCAGAGAAGCAAAATATATTCTTCAGAGTTTCACCTGTTGTAAACTGACCTTAAAACAGACTCTCTTCTTACTGGATCTGAGGTTCTCACAGCAGTGGCTGTAAGGAGTTCTATCTTCTGGGATATAATGCTGTGTAATCCATTGAAAGTCAGCCAAAATGTTAGAGTGACATGCCACAAGCAAGGCTCTGCTTGCAACCTGCTTCAGGCTGGTTTCCTGCCCAGCTCATTCTTTAATCCTGAAGGAGGAGGCAACATGTTCTTCTCAAATGTCAGTTGACTTTCAATAGACTACATGGCATCATATTACAGAAGACAGAACTCCCAAGACTCTCTTCTTCTTAGTATTCATTTTCTGTGAAAGAGTCAGAATTGAGTTTGTGCCTACTGAGTTGAGGCCATTCATGCAGCTGGAGAGGTGCCATTACTTGGTCATTCTGTGCTCAATGCAAACTTGATTTTGCTGCAAGCCCTTTTAGAGTGCCACCAACACAATCACATGCACTCTTCTCATGGCATGTCAGCAAAGAAGTGCTAATCTGCCGGAACCCCATATCTTTCATTGTAACGTACATAATATTTAATAAATGTAAATTTTTGCAGTCATGACTGAAATGTGTTTTCAATGTACTTCATTACATTATTGTAATAGGTCACTAGAAATGGCATTTTATTAGCTTTGAAATATGTCTCAGTTAGGGCAGAAGTTATGCTACTTTTAATATGAGAACTTGTGCCCAAAAATGACCTTTTTAACAACTTTGTATGTCTGCTCTCGAAATTCCAGTGGTCATAAGGCAGCCAGATGTGGCATGAATACTTATCTCCACTGAGACTACAGTCTCATAGAAAATAATTTCAATTCTGTGGTGGTCAGGTTGTGACCTTTGTTGACTTGACAGGAATGACCAGACACTGAAGATTCATACTATGGTCTTCTGGATTATGATACCATGTATAAATATTCTGGAGGAAAGTTCTAACTCCATATATAGGCATTATGACTACACAGTCATAACTCAGAAGACCACATAAATTCAGTAACACATTTTCAGCAAAGTCCTTCAAATATTGTTTCAAAACGTTCAGAGTTGGTGAGGTGACAGAAAATCACCATTAGAAATATCAGAGTATTTTACAACAGAGAGCAGGTAACTCCTAAAATTTATAGCAATTAGTCCTATCATTGCAAAATTACTAAGGCAGAAAATCATTTCTTAACTGTGGATTCATGTGCTGTTAATGATCCAAGTGAACTTGTCACACATGTACCAGTAATTATAGGGTGCAATGTCTTGGCAGTTATAGCATAAATTATGTTCTGGAGTGGTAAGACAAAATGGCCCACAGTCACAAAAAGATGTCTATAGGTACCCAAATAAGAATTACACTAAACACTCTGTTCATAATTGGCATCTTTGTCATTAAGGAAATATATTCTCTATCCCTTCTTCCACTTTCTATAAACTCAATATGGGAAAGTTCACAGCTGCTAAAATGTCGTGTTCATCTGTCGGTGACTCTAGTCTCATGGTACCGTCTGTTCCTACATCATCTAATCCAATTACTATAACACAAACAGTAAAAAATCAAAGTGATAATTTACTATGTTTGATTAGAAGTGAGTACTCTTCTGAAAATTTACTGTTTTGTGCATCCATTAAATATCCATATATAAGTTACCATTGTTCTACGAAATTGATTTTAATGAAGAGATTTATAGGTTATGTATTTTATGTTAACAGTACCACCAGTAATGTAAATATTTCAAAATGTGCAACAGTACTACAGTTGCAAAATGTCACAGCAATTTTATACTACAAAGTATCCCAGTAAATAAAGTATTCTTACTAGGAAACTGAAATCTTCACGATATGTGATCTTATTTATATTCTATTGTGATGTTTATTTACACTGTATAATGTTAATATGTTACAATGTTGTCACTCAAAATGCACCCCCAAATCCCCACCCTCTATTTTACAACAGACAGTAAACTAACTATTCTATCCGGCAGAGGCGCTGCTACTAGCGGGCCTCTACGGTATCGTGAGCGGTAGAGAGCGTCAACCCTGTTTGAGGTACTGGTGGGGAAAAGAGGGACCTGGGAGCATGTCTGTCTGACTGTGCCTGACTGCTGGTATAGAGAGCATAGAGAGTTTGCTGCTAGTTGAGAGAAAGAGGGTCAAAGAGGAGAGAAATAATACGGTGCAGTGCATTGCGAAGTCGGATGAACAACTTAGACACAACCTTTGTTCTGTAAGTAATGTAGATATTACAAAACTTCGTAACTGTTGGAAGTGTACTGTTACTGGAGCTCCCGAGCCAGGGTATTTGTATGTGAAACTAAATACGAAACCGTGGGAAATACGATGGGAATGTAATGTCAGCGCGGTGAAAGAATGACGGATACCTGCTGAATGTAGACCGAATGTTTCGAGTAACGTTACTTATAAGGTATAAGGTTTTGTACTGTTATTAATATTTTAAAAGTAGGAAACAAAACCACGCACATATGAAATTTATATGCATGGCAGTATAATGCCTTGCCATCCACCTTTGCTAATGGTACACATTTTTCTTGTTACTTTCAACGCATATTTTGTGTTCAAAGTAGGTAGATCACATACAGTGTGTCCAAGTACAGCAGTGTTTACGTAAAAGTGACACAAGCACAGTGTTTGTCTTTGATGTAGGTAAAATGTATTTGGATCATTTGTGCTGGCTTCTTAACTTGCAGATGTTTTCAGTAATGTAGGTTAAAAGTAGAAAGTGTTTTTCCCAAGTACACACACACAGAACTGTAATTAAAAATGCAAACATTAATATAACTTAATACTTTGTATTTATAATAAAATTATTTTGCATTCCATTTCATAATTTCAGATTAAAGGTTTAAACATTGCCTTGTTTACTGCTGCTTCTGTGTCACTTGAGTTTCTGAAAACAAAGTTTATTTTCTGTGAAAACTGTACAGATGACTAATCCAGGGCATTCATGGGGGTGTTGAAAAAGGAAGTCCATCCAAATATGATATTCTTAAAAGTAAGGGTAAAGTTGTTCTTGTGCTTAACTAATTAAGCACTATGTGATGAAGGTGTATGGGGGAGTGGATGTGTAGATTATTTGTTAAAGCAGAAATTGTGAATTTTTAATTCACTCAATTCAAACCATGAACAGAAACGATATGTAGTTGAGGATCTATGATACTGGATTGAGTGATTGAGACTAGCTCTTTCTAACGGGCCCAACTGAGCAGGTTAATCCTTCCCTACCCACCTGAAGACGGAGACAGATCCAGTCTCCGAAACGTCGTCGTGGTATTTTTGTCTTTTACATACCAGATGATGGATGAAGTCCAAAATAAGCCAAAAGAAGTACAGTATACACCATTGTCAGAATCCTTTCAAGTCTATCTAGTTGTTATTTGCAATGTTGTGTAGAAGTTTATGTGAGTTTCTGATGGCTTCACTCATCACAACAGAACAGATATTAGTTCAATATTTTTTTAGTCTTGGGATATAATTTAATACTTTATCCTTCATGTTTTAGAAGATAAACTGCTTTTCTGCTATTTTATGAAGAAAATATGTATTGGTATGATGCTGTGTTGGAGCTGATGATATATGTAATGGGTGTGGTTCTGTAGTTAAGATTATAAATTCCTAATGTAATGCAGTGAAAGGTTAGTTACAAGCTGCTACATTCTGAGTTAAAATTGCATAATGGGTTTTTATGTGCTTCTGTAAATTCCATTTTATCAAACTTTCAGCTCATGCATACAGGCTGCTTTGTGTTAAAAATAATACATTGTGAAACCTGCAAGGAAGCACAGCCATGAGTAACAATTTTAAAATGATTCAAGGTTAACAGCAATGAATATGCATCATTATACTGTTTGCCAAAGAAAGCAGTAGGTGTATTTATTCAGTTATTATTACTTGTAGTTTATTTGATAACGCAGTAGGTAACCCAGACTACATAGTGTTAAACAGTTGAGCAGTAGTGAGTAATGAAACGGATTGAATGTGGAAGGAAGCAGTCGTGGCTAAATTGAAGATATTATCCTGGCATTTGCCTTATGGGACTGAGGAAAAAGCATGAAAACCGTTGGTAAGGATAGTAGGTCGGAGGCAAGGTCTAAACTTGCCCTATTTCTGAATATCGGTCGTAAGCATTGCTGACTGAACTGACTCAGTTAATTATTTTTGATGAGACCATTGAGAACACAGAACTCACAAATACTGACCTTTAGCAGGAGCAGAGATTTCATCTGAGCTGGGCTTTCCATAGAAATCCGAAAGGATATTCTTCCTTAAGAAGATTTGACTGCAGCGTATATTTTTGTTGATGCAAGTGTGCAGGGACTTAATTCAAATTAGATTGATAACCTAACCATGTATGTATGTAAATAGACTGAGTATTGTAGTTAGTCTCTGCTTGTGACATGGTCTCAGTTCCACATTGTTGAAGCTAAGTTTGTCTTCCTGCATAAACAGTGAGAAAGTGCTTCAGTGTAGGTTGTGATTACAGCGCTGTTACAGGCCACAGCCCATAATTATCCTGATAACAGCTGTTTGCATCATTTTTACAGCAGAGTTACAACTCTCTGAAGTATGAAAGGAAAGACACAAGGAAATTCAAGTGGCATGTAATTTTTTTTATTAAGGCTCTTGTGGTGGCGTAGTTGGTTGAGGCACTATGCTATGAGCTGGAAGGTCGTGGGTTCAATTTCCAGTGAGATCACTGGATTTTTCAGTTGACCTAATCTTTCTAGCCACACCATGACCCAGGTGTTAATCAGCCTCTAACAGAAGTGAGTGCCAGTAATCCTCCTGTGGGTAAAGGTGCGGCTGGTGCATGAGGCTGATAACCTCATTGTCATCTGTGAGCTGATTGTCTAGAAAATGTGGGAGCATGAACGTCTCACAACCCTATGTGCCTCCATGGCCTGTTACAGGGATAGCTTTACTTTTAATTGTTCAGTTTAATTAAGTACAAAATTTTGCTTAATTTAATTTGTCCCAAATTACCATCTGCTCATTATTGCCCATTGCACAATTAATATCTTGCTGATGTTAAAAAACAGTAATTTAATCTCTTTAGGGGAATCTTCTCGCATCTTCCTCCTTTCTGTCAATATCTTACATTCGTTTTCAGTTCTTTGAAGCAGTATTTTAAATGTCAACAATTTGCATCATTTTAAATAACTTATTTAAGCTTAGGTATTGTTTATGTAAGTTTATTTTTACCATCTGTGTAGTTGCTTTTGCTAATAGAACTACATATTTTCACAGCTGAGGGATCAGTTTCAGACTTGCTATGAATTATGTTTATCAGTGTTTGATTAATTTTACTTGTATTTTGTAGGTGCTCAATTCAAATCTTGGCTGGGACACTAGATATCCCAACTAAGTTATTGTTGTGGGTTTTATCAATCCATCCAGGCAGATACCAGGATAGTACTTTGATTATGCCCTGACTGCCTCCATCAATGTCCTTTCAAGTTCATTAGTCATCATACCATTTAGGTATTTAGTACACTGGCATCCTAAAATAAGCCAACAAAAAAGAGATCCACTGTTGCCACTGTTACATCTTGTGTGGCTTACGCGTTTATGACATGAAGATTTATAAATTGTGATCTGTGAAGAACATATCAGAATAATAGTATATGACACAGTATTAATATTACAGGGGGCACGCGGTAGCATGGTTGGTTGAGGGGCTATGCTACAAGCCAGAAGGTCGCAGGTTAAAGTCCCAATGAGGTCACTGGATTTTTTCCAGTTGACCTAATCCTTCCAGCCGCACTAGGCCCTGGGGTTTACTCAGCCTCTAACAGAAATGAGTACCAGGAATTAATTAAATAATTTTCCTCGGGAGTAAACTGCAGCCGGCGTGTAAGGCTGACAACCTTACCGCCATCTTTGAGCCGATTGTCTAGATAGTGTGGGGCCCTCAACGTCTCACAACCCTATGGGCCTTCACGGCCTGGTACAGGGATAGCTTTACTTTTTTACTTTTTTTTTTTTTTAATTGCACAGTGCAAAATAAGATTACATATCTGCAAGAGGATATATGCTGAGCAGCATTACTGAGATAACATGGTCAATTTTGATGACAGGTGTTGTTTGACATAATGCGATTACAGGAGAGTAGCAGAACTCAGGAGTCAGAATATCTCCTTGCAGGATTTCAGAGTGTCTCATATGATCACTGGAATTTGTTGAAATGCTGACTGATGCCTGCCAGGAGGGAAAGGGGAGGGGAGATGAGGAACACTTCTGCAGCTTAACATGATTGTTCCTAACTGAGCCTCTTCTTTTGCTTACCAAGCTGTTATGAAACATTTCTATTATTAATGGTAGTTGACGAAATATATTAACCCTTTAAAGCTCAGATGTATCACCCATATTAATACATTTAACATGAACAAAACTGGGTAACTTACGTATTAATGGGTGAGGCTTTCGGTTTTCTTTTTATTTTTAAAGGGAAATAAAATATGCCTGAGGTCAGGCTTTGGGTTTTTACTTTTTAAATGAACTTCTATAGTTGACAGCATTAACATGGCAGACAACGTGCAATTTTTTTCCCACACTGAACATTCTCAGTGATAGAAGCTAGTATACACCATTATCATTCCCTCATAGAAGAAGTCTGGTGGATGAAATATGCAGTGGCCATCATTTCCATAACTGGCTATGACTTTTTTTCACCTGCCTAACATAACCTTATCTTGTCAGGTTTCTTTTTCTTCTTCTAAATAACAAGGCAGACCATATTTTAAAGTCAAACTACTCTTTCTACCATGAAAGATGGAAAACATCATTGAATTTATGATGAAATTTGTGAGCAAAAAGATGGCTAATGATACTATATTATATTTAAGCATCCTGTTGCACTATACACTTCTGTATGTAATAATACAAATGCCATTGTGAATGCAACAATTTATTTGGTTGTAGTTCTTTGTCTTTTCTTCTTCTTCACTACATGTTTCGGCCATAACTGGCCATCATCAGGTGTATTTTTCACTACGTAGCTGTCACACTGCACACAATCCAAAATCTAAAACACCAGCCTGTCAGTTTTGTTTAAAATCTCGCCAACATATGCTCGTCAATTTGATTTTAGAATTCCAGTTTAAAATTTAAAATTTTAAGTTTTAAATCACAGGGATACCCGCTCTGTGCAGGCTCCCTGTGTGTGTGTCGCTGCTCATCTGCAAAAGTATTAAAGAATCTCAGATTTTCTGTGCCCACGCTATCATCGTGCAATACAATTAGTTAAATAGGAAATACACGTAAGAGTGTTTTGGGGAAGTAATATTACCATCTGTTGATGATGATGCTGCAGTGACAGCTCAGATACTATTGCTTAGCAATGGTGGGTAAGGGAACAAGAGGTCAGTTCAAGCCAGTGGGAATGATAGGTAGGAAAATGTGGTATAACCCAGGAGACCACAGCCTGAACGGTTCCTACCATGGAAATCTAAAAAATTTAAACTTTGTTAACACTGAAATATGCTGAACAGAGAAATTTGACCGATAATTTGTTTCAGTTTGTATATGTAATTGTTAACATCTCCTGCTTTGCTGTATTTTATATTAGGCATATATCATTTTGTGAGTTGTTCTCACTTTTGTATTGCTTTGAGTAACCTTTAATATATTTTTATCTTTGTTTTAGTTTGCAACACCAGGCGCAGAATTCTGGAACAGCCTATTCTGTACAGTAATCCATGCGAGTTACGGAAACTGTATTTTTTAAAGTAAAATTACTGGCTTCAATAGGATTTCTCGTGTACTATGTAAAATACCGCCATGGAAGAAGAAAAGAGTGAAATTGAATCTGAAGTAACAGACGGAATTGATGGTGAACATGACATGAAACAAGGTGATATTAAACCAGAATTGGAATCATTGACATTAGATAAAACTGTGGAATGTGAAAATATAATAGACACAACTAAGGATAGAAAAGAAGAGGATGATTCCAAAAATATGTTATCAGCCGCAGCAGTTGAAGAGGCGATGGATGAAGATAACAGCAACAAAGATGATGACAAGGACCCAGCTGTTGAAGCTTGTGGAGCTGCAGTTCCCGTGGATTTTGAGCTAGACCAGAAAAATGATGAAGTCCTTTCAGAAGAGAAAATGACTGTTGTCTCCATCAAATCAAGATCAGACATTGCTGGAGTTATGAATGGGTAAGGCTAATACCACATTGGTTGGTGTATATACATGCACGTTCTCTTTCTTTCAGCTATTTCATGGGTCAGTTTCAAGAAAAATGTTGAGCCCAATTGTTTCATTCCAGTGAGGCTTTATAGTCCCTGGAAAACAGACTAATATATTAAATAATTTACCTTTTAAACACAAGGATGTTCATAATTTCATATATATAGAAGTTAGTTTAGGCCTCAAAATTAGGTAAAAACGTAATACAAAAATTTTTCAGAACCAGTTTACTTTGTAAAGATAATTATGATTCATATTATTGAGTCACATGTTGGGCTGCATACCGTTTTGCTCTGTAAAATTTGTTTTCTAGATTTAAATTTGGCATTTAAATGAAATAATGGTATAATGCATGTTTGAGTGTAATATTTAATCATAATGAACTCTGTTTTATGATGATATCTTACTTTTTAGGTTTCAAGCATCTTGAAATATGCATATTTATTTATAAGTTTGTACAGACATCTTTGGTTGAACAATTATTAGCATTTAACAAATACTTTTAAGAACAAATCATGTGTATATATCTGAATAATATCTTACTTATAATTTTGATTAGTTTGAAACTGGTGATGGTCAGTGTTTATATACTTTGGCCATATAATCAGTATTGACCTAAGTCTTGCATTTACTGGTGCAATAATGGCACTTGGTGGAGTTTGCTCTATGTAGTTCATGGTACAGTTACATGATCATTGTAACAAGCAAGCAGACTGTGGTCATTACTTTCTGTAACAAAGGAAATGAGGCCTGAGTGTTCAGTTCAGCAGAAGCAGCAGGCCAAACTCCCCACACACATGCACACAGGCAAACAGGACAAGTTTGTAATTCAAGGTCAAGCAATCCCTAGCAGCCATCTGGCAACATTGTGAAACCAGCTACATGTGTATATATGGCTAGTGCCACATCATTTTCCAAACCTCTTGTACTGTAAATATGTTTCCATGAAGCTGCTGGGGCCTTGTGCTTCAGAAGAGTTGCATGCAAGGTAATGCATTTGCTTGCAACAGTTGTGCTGGATTCAATCAATAATTATGGAAGGGGTGCAGAAACTTTCACTGTTTCTGAGGTCAGTTGCCTAGGCAGCAGGAGGTTAACGTTGCTTATCTTACTACATATTTTAGAGGGTGACAGACTTTCATTAAATCTTTATACATTACTGTTACATAGTCCCTGTTAGCAGTATATTTTCTCTGGTTACTTTGTGGATTGTGAGCACCGAACTGCTGGCATACTCACAGTTGTTATTCCTTTCCGCACAAGAAACATTACGAATTATCATTTAGTGAGGACATATGATCAGTTTTTTTTTAAGTATCAGATACTGATGTAATATGTGTCACCTAGATGGCCATTGGTAAAGGATAGAATGTTATCTGCATTAATATGGTTCTCCTTTTAGGTGTAAACTGATTCTGACATTACAATTTCACCACAAAAATGTTGGAAGGAACAGTTTGCCAACATGGAGCACATTAATTATTGGAATTATTTCAGCTGGAGCCTTTATTATAGTGTTTATTTTAGTATTTCAAAACATAAAACTACGCCTCTGTTGTAATGAACTGTTTTCCTTCAGATAGTTTGTCATTTTATGACTGTCAGGATGTTTTAAAAAGAATTAATTGTGGAAATATCACCATAGACAATGTTCTCTGTAAATGTAGAAGAGTGGGTGTTGTACATGGTACATGAAAAATGCAAGCTTTGTGCCGGTACTCTTAAAGATGTGTCCTTGGTGAATTACTATTGCATCATGCATTTTTTTGTTTGTAGTGTGTGTGGTAGTGGTGGTGGTAGTGGTGGTGGTGGTAGTAGTAGTAGTAGTAGTAGTAGTAGTAGTAGTAGTAGTAGTAGTAGTATCAGTAGTTCTGACCTCTTGTCCATAGTATTTTGTCTGTTTCAAAACCTGGAGTGACAATAATCTTCAGCCATGTCCACATGATGGCAATCAGATATTAATTATCAGGATATCTTTGTTATGGTATCAAGTGAAGAGAAAAGGTACCTTAGTATTATAAAGAATGTCTGCAGTCTCTGAATCAGTTCAGTTGAGAATAATTTGTTACATCCCTCCTCCTATATCCTGGTTTTCTTGTCTTAGTGAATGTATGACATATGTTAGAAAATGTTAGAAGTGCTAATGTAATTGCATCCATATTATTTTTAATATGTTGGAGTCGCGAGAGCTCAATCAGTGTAGTGGCTAGGCTACAGGCTGGACAACTGAGGATTCAGAGTTAAATTCCTAGCAGAGGAAAGATATTTTTTCTCTTCTCTGTACCATATAGTCTGGCTCCAGGGCCTACCAAGCTTCATGATCAGTGGGCGTTAACATCCTTGATGTGTCTGTAAAATATGCAGATCATTATTTTGCTTCACTTCTACAATACTTACACATATTAAATTAGTGTTGATACCTCACAGCTTTATCAGAATGGGTGCTCTAATGCCAATTCTCATTATTAGTGAATTAAATAGGTGACATTGTAGACTTGTTTAATTGCGGGGTGAGGAGGAGCGACAATAAATTTACACATGGCACTGTCAAAGAGAACAGTTATATCGACTTTGTTAACTCAAAATTTTCTGTTTTAAATATAATCAGAATCTTTCAGTAGAGTTAATTCAAGTGGGGGTTTGAAGCTGACCACTCGTCCAGCTCCCAGCTAGTAACGAGGTTAAGAATGGCGGAATGTACCTTCACTGCCTCATTCATCATATCATGGTGCTTAAATAAATAAGTCTGGGGAAGAATTTTCCTCAGAATTAATGGGTCTTTGGACTGTTTCCATCGTCCGGAATGATGGACGATAGAAAAAGTCCCAAAAACGCAGTAATTTTGTGTCATCCACCATCATCAGAACCCTTTAGAACCAAGAATTTACCTGTTATAACAATTTGGAGAAATAGTTAACATACAGAATAATCCGATAGAGGAAGGGCTTAGGAAGTGTTAATACAAAAAATATTGATTCGTTTTATATTTTTAATTATAATTTTTCACTAGAGTGGCAGCAGAAGCATGCACCAATCATATGTACTGTGGCTTGGGAGGATGGACGGAAGCAAATTACACGAATTGGTGCCAAATGTAGCATTGTAGAATACTGGTTTGCAGTAAATAGTAACTGTGTTGTTAAATGTATCTGTACTCAGCTTATCCACCAATTCTCTTTTAAAACATTGTAATTTAGTGTCTGGTATTATAGGCCCATGATTTATAAGTTGTTAATTTGTGACGGTCGGGAAGAAAATTTCTGTTGGTATTCATATTATGTGGGGCATGCGGTAGCGTAATTGGTTGAGACACCATGTTACAAGCCGGAAGGTGGCGGGTTCGATTCCTGATGAGATCATTACATTTTTTTTGGTCAGTTTACCTAATCCTTCCAGCCGCACTATGGCCCTGTGGTTGACTGATCCTCTGACAGAAATGAGTACCAGAAAATTTCCTTGGGGGTAAAGGGCGGCTGGCGCATAGGGCTGACAGCCATACCACCATCTGTGAGCCGATTGCCTACAAGATGTGGGAGCCTCGACGTCTTACAACCCTATGGGCCTGAACGGGCTGTTACAGGGATAGCTTTACCTTCTTACCTTTATTCATATTGTGTCCTACTGGGTTGTGACAGCGTGTAGTCTGACACCCACCTACCAGGGTATCGTATCATAACCAGAAAGACCAAAATATGAATTTTCATAACGATGAAAACCTCATGTATTATGTGTGTTAGACAGAATTTAAAGAGGACGGGGTGACACAGTCGGTATAGCGATGGGTTGTAGGCTTCATGTCCTGGATTCAATTCCCGGCAGCGCAAGAAATTTTCCTTTGCTCCACAGCATTCAGACCAGGTCTGGGCCCCACCCAGCTTCCTATTCAGTGGCTAATGGGGGCTCTTTAAGTGACCAGTGCCAAGGTCAAGAATACATGGATCTATACATCCACACCCCCATACATCTTCATGGTATCATCAGTTAAGCACAGAGTTAAAAAAAATTCAGAAGGCTACATAAGCAGAACAAAGAATGTGTGACTGCTGTTCTCTGGCACAACATTATTGTAATCTATCTGTAATTTAATTTGTCAGCGAGTGTTGTGGGCAGATTATTAATATCCATGTTTCGTATTTAAAAATGTATTGCATTTAGTTCTCGGCCTGCAGACTGGCTGTCCTCACCGAGGTTCTTTGTAGTTTTACTCAGCCCCTCCAAGTGAATGTCATGATGGTGCCTCATATTGTGCCATGAATTCTTCCTTCCGTATCCTTTCCTATTTATTATTCACTAATTATCCTACCATTTAATGCTATTAAATATGAACTATTCAGTGTCTCAAACCATAAATGAATAAATTCATTGTCATACCATTGCATGTTTTTGAGCTTGACTGCTGATAAAATTCTGTCTAATTAGTAATAGTTCAATTTTAATTTTGATAATGGGTTCAAACCATTTCAGGGATTCTTCAACGATTACTAGTGCAAGGGATATCACACTACCAACCGAGGATATAAGTCCTTTGTCAACGAACCTGGATTCACAAACTTCTCAAGTTCTGACTTCAGTCACTGGAAATCGTAACAGTAGTACCAGTACACTGTCAAGTGTTTCCAGTACACGATCAACTCGATCGCAAAATCCGGAGTTCTTAGCTCGACATAGAAATTTCTTGCACAAACTTCACCTCACTTCAAATAATGTAACAGACGAGGAGTTGCTTACAGACGATGATGAAAGTATTACATCCAAAGCAACTTCAAGATCTGGTGGGAGTGTTCAAACTGAAGAAAACTCTGGTTCGATGGTGGATAATTTAGCTGTTCGACGGAAACGTGAACGAAGTGTAAGCAATGGAACATTGTCGCCTAGGGTTCCTTCTCCAGGTTTTACTAGTATGATTGGAGGAAGTGTTAGTGCCAACAACAGTGGCAGCTCTTCACCAACTGGAAGTCAGATGCAACCTGCAACAAAGAAGAGAAGAAGCACAAGAACAGATTCAACAGGAGCTCAGGTGAGTTATTGTTTGGAAATATAATTTTATCGGTGTTTATCACTGAGGAAAGCTTCTAGAATATTTTGGATATATTACATGGTTGAATCTCTTTTTCAAATTAATTATATATAACTAACTTCACGGAGCTGAGTTCTTCTCTGTATGTTTGCAGTTGCTCAGCTCCTAAGAACATTCCCAGCATCTTCTGGAATGTGAGAATTCCTTATTGTGTTCACAAGAGCTCACCACTCATCCCTATCCTGAGCCAGATCAATCCAGTCCACACCATCCCATCCTGTTTCGTTATAATGAAATTTAGTATTATCCTCTAGGTCTTCCTATTAGGAGCCAGCATAGCTCAGTCGGTATAGCGATGGGGTCTGGGCTGGGTGGCGAGGGTTGAATTCCCGGCAGGGGCAAGACTGTCCCCCCCCCCACAATATCCAGACCGGCTGTAGAGCCCAGTTAGCCTCTTGTACATTGGGTACTAGAGGCTCTTTCCCTGGGGGTAAGGTGGCCAGATCGTGAAGCTGACCACTCACCTCCATCTAGTGCCAAGTCGAGAATGAAGGAGCTATGCCTCCACTTCCCAACACATCTTCATGGCGTGGTACTTAATTAATTAAGCACATGGACAACTTTGCTTTTACCATAGCTCTTCATAGTGGTGTATTTCCTTTAGGTTTTCCCACCAAAGTTTTATATATACGTGTATTTCATCCGTGCTACATGTCCTACACATCTCTTTAGTTTGATAGCTCTAATAATATCTGGCAAGAAGTATTAAGTATGAAGGTGAACATTATGCTGTTATCTCTTTGTTACATCATCCCTCTCAAGTCCAAATTTTATCCTCTGCCCCCAGTTCTCAGAACTTCTCAGTCTGCCTTTCATACCCATACAGAACTACAGGCATAATTATAGTTCTTTGTATTTTAACTTGTTATATTTGCTCCTTAAGATAGAAGTGTTTCCAAGACTAAGTATGACATGCAGGGACTTGGATGTAAATCTGCTCCTATTTTTAACCTTGGCACTAGATACCAATGAGTGGTCACCTCCTATGCGTGAGGAAGTGTCCTTTTTTTTTTTTGTGAATTATTTAGCAGAGTTCTTCATTTTGTAATATCTAAAGGACTTACTCATTTCATTCTTCTTGGGTAAGAATGACTTCCTGAGCACTGTGTTCTCAAAACACTTGTTTGTCCGTCGAAAGTAAGTGACTGTGTTTCACAGCCTTAGCATATAACTTAACAGAATTATTGTTCTGTATATCCTGATCTTCAGGTAGGTGTGATAATAGTTTTCAAACGAACTAAATAGAGGTATTTCCAGAATTTTATTACTTTCCAAATTTCATCATGGACCTCATTTCTATTTGTTCGTTTTGTTCCCAGATACATAATTTTTTAAACATTCTCAAGTGATTTAAAACATATTATCTCTTTGTTCCTGGTGTTTGTTTTATCCCTTGCTTATTCGTGTACTTACAGAGTACTTTCTTTATTTGCATGTAGAATTTAGGACTTATTCATTGTTGTAGAATAATTGTGTAAATAAGTTAAAATCATCAGCATAAGCATGTACCTATCCAGGCTCCTTTGGGATTTCATGATTGTTTATTCTAAAGCAAAATTAAAAAGCAGTGGAGATAAAGCATCCCCAAATTTTAGCCCATTGTGAACTGGAAGAGCAGCAAATAAATGTTTTACATACCAACTCTAGAAGATGGCGTCATAAAATGCTCCAGTTGAGTTATGCTGTAATATAGATTATTGAGCCCTCGTTTGAAATTAGAAAAAATCCTTATGTGGAGTTTATATTTGTCCGTCTGCCTGTGATTTAGTGTCAGTGCATCAACTGTTGGACAGGTTTTTTTTTTTGTCAGCCATATTGATCAGTAATAAGACCCAGTTTACATAGGGCCATAAGTGAACTTCTGCATATCCTATGAACAGAGATTTTGTTGAAAGGTCTTATATAAGCCGTTTTTATTTGATGGATCCCAGATCTAATTAAGCTTCAGAGAATGGCACTGATAATTTTATGTGGTCAATTATGGAGTGCACGCTTTCGAGTCTTGTTAATCATTGTTCAGCGTGCAGAATTCTGATACATGCAGCTGTGAGAACTGGATGTTTGTTTTGCAGTGCGCTTACATGGAACTGTTATCTTGTGTACCACAGAGTATCAGATGAGTTGTCTAATTGACACACAAGTGGAGAAAACTTAGTGTGAGTGTGCTATATTATTATAAGTGATACATGCTGCTGGCAACTGTGTCAGCAAGTGACCTTCATATGTCATGTTGAAATGAGCGGCTGCATTCCATTGATTTTCAGATACAAATGAAGATGGCAGTACTCCTGTTATAAATCATACATACTTATGGCAGTTAGTTCTTTATATTTATTTCTGAATTGATTAATTTTCTTTGGTGAAATTTTGAAGTTCCTTATTATGACAAAACAAGAGTAGTCATACACACTTGGCATGTCGTTAGTATGGGACGTTTCAGTTGCAGATGAGTTGTGCGGCCTAGGTAGATACAAAGCTTACACCCATTTTATGTAAACCTAGGAGCCCCCTCAGAAGAACTGGGAGACAAAAAGAGAAATCAATGTACATGGAGAGGGAAATTTGCATGTTTTTATTAACAAAAGGACAGTTGACACATCTGCAGTTCCTACCATGATAGTGCCTTCTGCTGTTGCTAGAATATGGGGAGAGGATGGACAGTATGGTGGGCTGTAAAGGAGAGATTGTTTTAATACACTGAGAAGGAGAGAATATGGTAATGAGATGATAATATGGGCATATAATTGGGTCTGAAGGCAGTAAGGGAGAGAATAGGAAAGGAGATAAAGATACAGAAGGAAGAAGAAAGGAAGTAATAATAGAATAGAAAGGAAATTGTAGGCATCATGATGACCTCGCCCCTAAAATTTGCAGTGCTTTAATTTCTAGCCCTGTTAATGCTTTATGTTTGGGAGATCCCAGATTCAATACTTCCAGAATGGAGGCTGATTATCCTAACTGATATTTTTCATGATTTCATTCAGTCTTTTGGGACACATACTGTGCTGTTCTGTTTCTTATAAATTCTGGTTAATTATTTGCAGTCATGTTTCCATCCAATGCCATATATTCTGTACAGTTGGAAAAGGATTGTTAAATGAGTCAGAATACTAATTACTCATTCCATGCACATAAATAATGTATTTAACATGTGTTGAAGTTATTGTTGTATAATGATACCTATGTTAAGTTGGTCGTTGACATCATTTATGGCACATACTCAGGTTTTAGATGGAGGATATGGCCTCCAGTTCTTCAGGATATGGCCTCCATGTATGGAGGGTAGACATAAATATGTAGAGTAATCTCTCGCTGACAACTGACAGAAGATGGTCCTGTAGGTTGGGCTTCAGGCAGAGGTTAACAACTTCTCACTATTGAAGTTCAGTTATTTGGACAGATTCTCTGGAAGGACATAGGCAACAGAAAGTGAACATGATATTTGGACTTTACTAGCTGAGCAGCTACTGTCATCACAAGCAATCCTGTGCTCCATGCAGTTATTTAGTTAAAATGATAATATTTATAATGGCAACAATATAAAACAGTTTGTCATTCATTTTATGTTGGGGAGCTGTGATAACGAATAAAGAGACCCGCTGTGGTCGGGATACTGCGTCCTGTCATGGAGTGTCCTATGCATTCTTTCTATTTTTGGGGCCCACTTCTCTTATTTCCCTGGGGATCAGGTTACCAGAATGTGAAGTAGACTATAGTGATCTGTCCAAAAAGAAATCCAACTTTCTTTTTAAAACATTTATTGATGAGCTTGCAACTTAATAAGACTTATCTTCTTCAAAGTACTCCCCTCGACTGTCTATACACCGCTTCCAACGTTTTTTCCAGTTCTGGAACGCGTTTAGTGGGAAAGCATATAGGTCCCCTGGCAAATTTTCCTCTAACTCTTCTATCATCTGAAATCAGCAACCTTTCAGAAGGGATTTCAACTTTGGAAACAAAAAAGAAGAAGTCTGCAGGGGCAAAATCTGGAGAGTAGGGCGGTTGGGGGGCGACAGTTGTTTTGTTCTGCGCCAAAAATTCAGGGATGATGAGCGATGTGTGAGCAGGTGCATTGTGGTGCAACATCCAAGTCTGGTTTCTCCACCCCTCAGGCCTCTTCCTTCGCTCTACCTCCCTGCTTCACAGTTGTAGGCGATATATTGCTGTGAAACACTGGTACCCACCTACCAGGCTAGTTGGTATCACAACCCATAATACCACAGTACTAATCTTCACTGCTATGAGAACCTCAGATCTCATGGGATGTGATGCTGTGCAGTCTCTTTGATACTAATGCTGGACACAGTACATTCCTTCAGAATATCAGCAGACTTCTGCCAGACTAGACAGTGGAACATCCCAGAAGAAAACCACGAATCTCATCTTTATGACGTCTTGTTATAGTGTTATAAGAATGAGATCGATTTGTCGTGAATGGGCTGAACTGTTTAGCTTGAATAACAGACATACAAATATTGGTAGGGAAGTCTCTTGCTGCTACTTAGAAGTATGGAACCTTGCTTAACGAGCACCTCTTAAAACGAGAAATTTGCATAACGAGCAAAACAAATTGTAAAAGAAATGACTCGCTTAACGAGTGATGAGAGGGGAAGTCCCGGATTGTGCGCTTGCTACATCAGTCTGTGTTTAGCACTCATTCCGCAAGGATCTTAGTATCGCTTGTGATCACACATTTTTCCAAACTTGTGTTCAGACATATTATTTGTGATTTTTTTTGTGCAAAGTTTAATAACCCTTGCAAGACAGCCATAAGAGAATAAAAATAACCGTAGAAATGAAACGTAAAATCATTGAAAAGTGAGAACGAGGTGTGAGCGTGGCTGATCTAGCACGCACATACAATCGGTCTACATCAACGATTTGCACTATCCTCAAGAACAAGGACAAGATTAAAGAGATAGATGCTTCAAAGGGAGTGACAAGAATATCTACACAACGGTTACGTATTCTCGACGATGTTGAACGGTTGCTCCTCATATGGATAAACGAAAAGCAAATTGCAAGGCGACACTATTAATGAGAACATCATTTGTGAAAAGGCAAAAGTGATTTTCGCCAACCTCGTTAACAAGACGCCAGGATCATCAACGGCCAAGGTGGATAACAATGATATCGATGAGCTTGTGGAAGAGCACAGCCAAGAGCTGACCACTGAAGAGCGTATGGAGTTGCATTGTGTTTCACAGCAAGAAGTTGTGGAGGAGAGTTTGTCAGAGGAGGAGGAGGAGGAGGTAACAGCAAAGCAACACTCTTCTGGTGCAATAAGAGAAATGCTGAAAGCATGGGAAACTGTTGCATCGTACATTGAGAAGCATCACCCTAATAAGGCAGTGGCTATGCGCACTACAAATTTATTTAATGATAATGCTGTGTCGCATTTTCACCAAATTTTGAAGCGTCGGCAAAAACAAATGTCTCTTGACAGCTTTCTAGTAAAAAAGAATAAGATATGTATCATAAATAATAAACTTTTTTTTCCTGCAAATCGAATTCGCATTCCAGGTTGGTTCATTCTGCATAGAAGAAAAGATGAAGATGATTCACACTCCTTAACAACGTATATATAATTTTCTTTGAATAAACGTTATACAGACAATTTTTTTAGTATTTTTTTCGGCATGGAACGCATTATCTTATTTTACTCGTACATTAATTTATATGGGAAAAATTGTTTCGCTTAACGAGTGTTTTGCATTACGAGTAAGATTCTGGAATGGATTGTGCTCGTTAAGCGAGGTTCCACTATATGTGGTTACTGTTAAATTCATTAGTTGAATATGTTAAAAATATGACTGATCAACTGAATAATGTATAACAAGCAGAACCATTATCAGCGAAACCTGCACGTAGTAGTATGTGGATATATTACCTAGACCGTATCCCATTCTTGCTTTAAAAAAGTGACCAACTACTGCTGTAGAACTGTAAAAGTAAGAAAAGGTAAAGTTGTCCCTTTGTCTAAGCATCACACCGTTAAGACACAGTGGGGAATGGAGGAGTGATCAGCTCCTGGACATTGGACATTGGGACTGGATGGTCCCTAGAGCCAATTTCTTTCCTCTGCAGGAATCAAACCCCAGTCCCTTGGTTGTCCAACCTCTATCCTAGCCACTACACCAGCTGAGCTAATCTGAGTCACACCAGGAGCTGTAGGTTGGCTAATTTTGCTTCTGCAGAGAATATATGATCTAATGAGTTACCGCCTTGGACAAGGACCTTGCTGAGGACAAGGAAAATGTAGTGGTGATAAGACATTCATGACTTGCAAAATGGTTTTGACTGTACATAGGTAAGTAAGTTACAAATGGATATAGAACTTAAATACGTGTACTGATTTGAAAAATGCTTTTATTTCTCTACATAATCTCCCTGTACATTGAGGCACTTGTCCCATTGTTTCACAAACCCCTGAAAACCAGCAGCATAACATTCTTTGGGCTGCTTCCCTTTCTACAGCTTCATCGTCGGGAAAATGTTCAGCCAAAAGAAGATGTTTAAGAGGGCCGAACAAGTGGAAGTCGCTTGGAGCAAGACTCATCACCTGTGACAGTTCGGGCTAGCATATCGTGTCCTTCATTGTGGTAGCGATTGATATGCTGTAATGGCGGACCCATTCTTTGCATTTTGTGTTGTGGGGTCAGCATGCGCAGCACCCATCGTGCACAGACTTTGTGAAAACCTAACATGTCATGCATTATGAGTAGGGACCGGGTTTTTATGCCCTAATAATCCCTTAAATATGTATGCATTTATGCATGAAAAACTTCCGAAATATGCGCTAAAATATGCACATAAAAATTTATACCAAATATTAAAATTGATTTTACATTATTTTAAAACCAACAAATCAATATTTAAATTAATTTTATGTAATCACTGAATGATTCACTTGCAGTAAGAAGTTATACTTAAATACAAATCATGCAACAAAGCCAACATATTTCATTACAAATTTAGAAAACCAATGGTACTCACATTTAGCTCTCTGAACTTTCTGCTACTTCTCTTCTATTGCAGTTCACAGTTTATTCTTTCATCAGTAATCTATCAGACAACAANAAATTTATACCAAATATTAAAAATGATTTTACATTATTTTAAAACCAACAAATCAATATTTAAATTAATTTTATGTAATCACTGAATGATTCACTTGCAGTAAGAAGTTATACTTAAATACAAATCATGCAACAAAGCCAACATATTTCATTACAAATTTAGAAAACCAATGGTACTCACATTTAGCTCTCTGAACTTTCTGCTACTTCTCTTCTATTGCAGTTCACAGTTTATTCTTTCATCAGTAATCTGTCAGACAACAAGTCCACAGTCTCTTCAAAAACAGTTCCTCCACTTAATGCGATCTCAAGCCTTCTCCTTCAGTTAAAATATCCTCTTCTGTCCCCAAGGTCATCCAGCATCTTCTTCCTCGTCTTCTGGGCACTTGTAGCCATCCCTCCAGTTTGTTTTGTCTCCAGAGGAAACATCTCTCATACATGGTATCTCTGTTTTTGGAAAGAGACTATCCAGGAAAAGTGATGTGGTAGTTTTTCCATTTGCTTTCCACATCGCAGTACAACAGCCATTTAAACCACTCTGGTCATGCCTGTTGCTATACAAACTTGAACCATCTCGAGCATCATTTGCTCTGTGCTTCAACTCGCTGCTGATGATGCTTGGTCTCTCTCTTTGTCTGATGCCTACCCTTTGACCTGTCCAGCAAGAGAGGCCCTGCCAGTAGCTACACTACCGCTGGTATAGCTCTCAGGGTCTTCAAAAAATGATGCTTATTCATAAATCAGGCAAAATTTGCATTTATATGCACCATCAAACCATGTCCAAAATTTAAGAAATGAAGTAATTCATACATTATATCCAAATGAGCATACTTTCTGGTTGCAAGAAAGAAATATGCATTTGCGTTAAAATCTGGTCCTTAATTATGAGATAGGCCATGCCGTGTGAACAACCAATAGCAGTGGATATAGGGTCTGTAGTTACCCTTCTGTAGGGAAGTCACCGCCTGGTTCTGACAGAAGCCCAGAGAATGTTATGCTGCCAGTTTTCAGGGGCTTGTGAAACAATGGGACAAGTGCCTCAATGTACAGGGAGATTATGTTGAGAAATAAAAGCATTTTTCAAATCAGTACTCTTAACTTGTAACTTACTTATTGACTTACCCTCATACTATCAGATGGGAGGATCTTTCATTACATTTTTGGCATACTTTCTTTCCTTGAGGTCACAATGCTATCTGTGTTTGTGTGTCCTCCATTTCAGCCTTTGAAACGGTGACCATTATTTATTAAACTTGCTATGAACTTCCTGCCGTTGAAGGTCACATTGTCAAACCTTTAATTTCCTGCAAATAATAATAACATGGCATATGTCCAAACTTCAGTGGTGGGAGCAGCACTGGCAACCATGCAATTTGGGGTCCTCAGGTGATGAATACATATTAAAAATATATGCAACTTCTGCAAAGGTACTCTTCTGTTCAGTGTAAAATAACGTAATGGATTCAAAAAAAGTTTTACTTCCGATTTGATGGCGATAAAAAATTAACCAGTGGAGCTAGAATTGTGATATTTGGTATGGAGGAGGATCGTAGACATACTTACACATCATGTGTGGAATATTATTTTAATCCACCAGTTAGAAACATGGCACAGCAGTTTCGGGTTGTATCTGACAGATTTAATGTAGCCAGAATCTATACTAACACTCCACAAAAATAAATATAAATGTAATAGTAGCAGTAGATCTCTGGGATTTGGATCTAAGCAACAGGAAAATAGGCTTGATATATTCTGCTTGTTATTTTTTTTTTTCTGGATTCAGTTTCCATGACTCGACCTGATTTGTAGACATAATAATTACAAGTCAGTATATGTGTTCAAGGTGAATGTCATGTATCATGTGATGAAGGTTCATGCCAAAATAGATGTGATTATGTTTTATATTTGGGAAGCTGTTCACCAGTGTTCTACAATTTTGGGAGCTGTTGCTCATTCTTCTGCCATTTGTATTTAGGAAACAATTTGTCAGTGTTCTGCCGTTCATCCTGCACTATGCCTTCCTCAGTTTCTTACTAGGATGAAATGGGATTTTATTCTTGTTTTGTCTCACGAGGTTCAATTCTAGTAGATGATGTGAATGTAAATAGACTGGAATTTGCTTCAACTTGTAGATTCTGGTTTTTTAAAATCCCATCCATCCATCAAGTGTATTTGCATTGTTACCCTACACAGTAGAAGTCATGAAACAACAGTTGCAGGAGTTCAAACTAACTACATGGACCAGAGTCCTTATGAAGCTAGGGAAGAAATTGTCCAAATTTCATGGAACCTGAATACCCTACTTTCTTATATCTTGAGCCAGATGAATCAAGACCAGATCTTCCCTTCCTGTTTTTTAGGATCTATTTTAATATTATCCTTCAATCTATATCTAGTTTTTCCCAGGTGATCTGTTTCCTGTAGGCTGCCCAGACAAATGCTGGGTTAGTATCTCAATTATGCTACAACTGTTTCCTTCCATATCCTTCCAGTTCATCATGCTGCCATATTCTAGCTACTGACAGTGTCGTTAAATGACCCATACAGTAATACAGCTGGCGTTGCTATATTGGTTCAGTGTTGTGCATGTCTGTGGAGGATTGCTCACTGGAAGAGTAATGCAGCAAGGATAGGCAGGGCATAGCTTTCACTTGCATCTCATTTATCCCCACTCTCACAGATGTTTTGTATGTAAGTCACTCACCTTTCTTTTCTACGGCGTTCAACATACACGTATTATTTTCTAGTATGAACTTTGAAATTTGACTCAGCTGCAATGGACATGCTTGTTTGTAAATATATACAACTTATGAAGCAACGGTATTACAGAAAGTGTATTTGAATTTGACCGCCTTTCTGGCCCGGTGGTCAGAGTTCCTGGCTAAAGATCCAGAGGTCCTGGTTCGCTTCTCAGCGCTACCATATTTTTTTCTGAGAAACAGTGGGTCTGGATTGGAGTCCACTCGGCCTCATGATGATAATTGAGGAGCTATTTCAAGGAAATAGCGGCTCCTGTCTAGAAAACCGAAATTAACGGCCGTGGGAATTCGTTGCGCTGACCACGCCACACCCTCTATCCGCTAAAAGTGGCACTAACTTCGCCGACAAGCGGCGGTCGCTCGGTTGGTATAGTTCGTTTGCAGACTAAAACCACGGATTTTTTTTTGTATTTGATTTTGCGAGAGATTGAGTTAGGTAGAATAACGAACTACGTGGAGCATAGTCGTTCCTTAGTAGTAGTTGCTAAGTTAGTAAAGAAATTCCGAGGATTTTATGAAATCAAAAGTTTCAGCACCATGTTCACATGAGCCAGAATGCTATCCATGTCTCCCATCCTGTTTGTGTAAGATTTACTTAAGTATTCTTCCATCTACGCTTAGGTCTTCCAAGTGGTTTTTTCGCTCTGCGTTTTTGTAACGGATCTTTATATACATTTCTCTTCTCTACATGTTCCATGCCTCATCCATCTAATCCTTGTTGATATGATCATTTTATAGATTAGGTATGCTGCCATTTAAATTCTGTGTGACAGAATTGCCACCATACATTAATATTAGGCTATTTAATGAACGCCCTGAATAAGCGAATTGGGAAGGTTGCTGAAGAAGTAGCCATGTTCTGTTTTAGTTGGTAGTTGTATGTGGCGATATTTTAATATTTCACTTGAAATTCAAGTTCCCTCCACTTGGAATTGTATATGCTAAAAGATGTGCTGTTATACTTCAGAGCTCAAATATGAGCAATGATGCCTATGCTCGTGATAAAGAGTTTTCCATTGTTTTCTTCAGTCTGCAGGCAAATGCTGAGATATTAAAATAGAATGTGATCATGTCTCCACAAATCCCGAACTGCTCACTAGTCATATCTTGCTATCCCATTCGAAGCCAAATAATAAACTCATAAATTGAAGCAGTGTCATTAAATGATCCTATAAGCAATATTCTACCCATAAGTGGACTGCATAGAGGGGCACGCTGTAGTGTAGTTGGTTGAAGTACTATGCTACAAGCCAGAAGGCCGCGGGTTCGATTTCCGATTAGGCCGTTGGATCTTTTCAATTGACCTAACCCCTCCAGCCGCACTGTGGCCCTGGGGTATACTCAGCTTCCAGCAGGAATGAGTACCAAGAATCTTCCTGGGAGGAAAGGGCGGCCGACCGGCGCATTAGGATAAGAACCTCATCGCCATCTGTGAACCAGGTGTCTAGAAAATGTGGGAGCTTCGACCTCTCATAAACCTGTGGGCCTCGACAGCCTGTTACAGGGATCGCTTTCCCTTTTTAACTTGGCGGTCTGGATTGGAATCCAGAGACTTCTGAAGCATTTAATGGATTTTAGCGGATTTTTATTGAAAAGTATCAGCGTGTTCCACATTGAACTAAATTGAACTAACAGTGCTACAATTTTAGTAAAAGTAACTACGCCTGAGGATGGCCATGGCAGGCCGAAACATTTTGTAAAGAGTGTATGTAGGATAGAAGGTAAGAATAAAAATGGTGAAAACACTTATCCGCCGAAGATTAATAATGTCACGATTTTAGTAACTACGAGTATAAACGGATTTTGGATTGATGACCGGATTTATTTGACTTATTGATACTGCGCGTGACAACAGGTTACAATACACTGTTGCACACACACACACACACACTAGTGTCCACAGTCACGTTTTCACTAGCTGTTTCTTGGTAGCGGCTTTCAACGGCGGACGGGCCCCTGCCTTAGCTACCTGCTTCTAAGAGGAACAGCCCAGAGCGACTGAACCTCAGCAGTGCTCTAACCAACCAGCTGACTGCAACGGCTAATTAGTCCTGCTTATAACATCTCAGCATGGAACCCTTAGAAAACGCCGTTCCCATTACATTGCAGTTGTTGCGTTCGTGTATGTTGGGGTGACCACGTGATGACTACTGAGCAATTTCCTAGCAACGGATGTTGTTTTCAGATCCATTACTTAATTTAACAATTTTTTAATTCGCTTAGTGGGGGGTGGAGTCCAACTGGTTCCACACGGCACGGCGGCCACTGATTGGCCTATTGTACCCTGCCCCGGGTGATTATGATGATGGAGAATTTGGTGGAATGAAAATTGGAAGGAGAAACCGAAATACTCTGAGAAAACCCGCCCCAGCACCACTTTGTCCACCACAAATCCCACTTGACCAGACCTTGGATCGAACCCGGGCCGCCGCGGTGGGAAGCCAGCGATTAACCGCTTGAACTATGGCGCGGCCGAGCCATTACTTAACAAGGACTGTTGTATAGTTGCTTATTTCGCTGTCGTTGCCTAGCAACGGGTCTGCATGCCACAGTAGTAATGCAACTGGATGCTGAAGTACAATATGATTAGACTTACATTTGTAGAAGAAATGTAGTTACTGAAGCGTTCTGTCTTGTGGGGTATAAAGCCACACAGCTCACTGACAATCAGCCGACGTTTTGGAGGAATATACCTCCTCCATCTTCAGGGTAGAAGAATAAGCCAAGCGAGAAACCAACGTAAAGCAGGTAGCAAGCAGCATCGGTTGACTACATGCCGTTATATCCCAGATGATAGAACTCTTCATAACCACCGATGTGAGAACCGCAAGCCCTAAATATAATCATTGGCCTATTTTTACATATGGCGATACTCAGCAAAATTTGCGCCTCACTTGGTCGTGTCCACTAACCGAGATAAGGAATGTAGGTGTGTGTGTGTGTGTTTGTGTATGTGGCCTTGGTTATTGTGCATTACTGTCTCTTCTTCCCACAATGCAGATGCAACCACTGCCTCATATTTCTTGCCATACTTCTAACATTCAACAGAAGCCAGGTCCAATACTAGCCAGCACCCAATTATAAACACACAATCACTACATGTCCTTGGCCTTTGGAAAGGAATATTTCGCGATTTTGGATTTGCAGTGGCAAGTTATCCAGTAATTTCACCTCGAAAAGCCGAGTTAAGTGAAGATTGCATTTGTATTTAGATCTGTGAATAATATTGAAAGCCAGCCTACGTTTCGGCGAAACATCGCCTCCATGTTCAGGGTCCAATAAGCCGAGCAAGATACCAGCGTGAAAGCGGCTGGCGAGCCGAGTAATCGGCTATCAGAGTCAAAGTCACGTTGCAACCGACGGTCGGTCAGTCCCCTTTGGTTGTCATGATAGATTTTAGTTACTGTTTGACAGTAACAGTTTTGTCCATGTGAGACGCCCTCTCTGACGAGAGCACGGGCCTTTTGTGCTTAACATTTACAATTTACACGTTATTACATGGCATAACAGTGCATATGTACTACAAGTATATACACGGCCTCTCTCAGTCCAGTCCGAGGACAGCAGATCATGCCCTATCTTATGTAGATCACGCTACAACGGCAATCTAGTCACCTGAACGATTATGTGCTTTACCCTTTACCGCCTTCAAGTTTGAGCCTCTTACATTTTCTGTGTCAGGCTTCATTTTGTCCAATATTGCGAACATTTGCATTTTCATAATTTCGTATGACTTCTGCTTGTTGCATTCATAATTTTGTTATATAATCATATGGAAGTTCGAAAGTCACCTGCGAATCGCGGACCGGTGTGCAGGTGGGGCAAGCATTAGTTATGATAGGCCTAATGAGTGCTTTGTGGAGGGTAAATTTAATGTTAGCGCTTAATCGCTCGCTTTTGAATAGGGAATATACTGTAATAAATGTTCTGAAGTGATTGGCTTCTGTCGTTTCTATGCTCAGTGTCAATGTATATGTATATAATTCTCGTATCGACGATTATACCGAGATATTTTACGCTGTTTACAAGTGGAATGTTCCGTCCATTTAATGTAAGATTGAGCTCAGGCCGTCCAAGTCTGCGAGAGAAGTAGATCCCCTGATTTTTCGTCGTTGATTTTAGTGCTTCAGCGCTCACACCACGTCTTCCTTGAGCTGAGACCGCGCTCCAGTTTTCTGACAACAAAACTCTCCCTGCCATCTGCCGCAAACAGACAGGTGCCGTCGGCAAAGAGGGCTAGATGAACACCATGTGTTTTGATGGCATCATTTATATACATACTGTACAGTGTAAGGGACAGGACGAAACCTTGAGGCACCTCTGCTTGCATTTCCCTGGCCTAGGCATTTCACCTTCAACCAAAACTGAATTTTCTTTGTGAAAGAAAAGAGCCAGTAAGCTTGATTAAACTGGTCCAAAATTCCAAATCAGGTGACTTACATAGTAAGCCAGTGTGCTGGGGCCGCGCCATAGCTCAAGCGGTTAGTCGCTGGCTTCCCGCGGCGGCCCGGGTTCGATCTCGGGTCTGGTCAAGTGGGATTTGTGGTGGACAAAATGGCACTGGGGCGGGTTTTCTCTGAGTACTTCGGTTTCCCCTGCCAATTTTCATTCCACCGAATTCTCCATTATATTAATCACCGGGGCAGGCTACAATAGGCCAATCAGTGGCCGCCGTGCAAAGTGGCCCCATTGGTCCCCACCCCCCACTAAGAGAATTAAAAAAAAACAGGGTTGTCTCTTGGATATTGGCCTATGGGCAGAAGATTCTTGAGGTGCAGCGTATTGTTACAGATCTCTGTTGTAGGTACTTGAATATTCTCTGGCATTAATATGTTGACAGAGTGAGCAAGATAATGTTAGAGTGACTGAATGTTTAGCGTGTCCATAATTAACTAAGTGCGTGTTAGTTATAGACATACCAGATGGTCACTTATTGTGTCTGCTTTTATTATTCTTACTAACACGAAAGAAAAAACGTCATCCTGCTCTAAGTTTTCAGTACAGCTTAACCAGTAGGTGGTGGCCATGTTATAGATATACACGGTGACTTCACTTTTGTAGGGATTGTCCCTAAGAAATAATGCTTTAATGGTTAATGGTTAACATCTTAAATCGTGTAAATTTTCCTAAGATTCCATTGCCTACTGTGGTTTTCTACCATTTTTCCATATTCATAAACACTGAATTTGCTGAAGGGTTTATTTTTTTGCACACATTTAGGAAATCTCTGAGTTTTCCTGGGGTCAACCACCTAATGAAGATTATCCCTGGTTATTTGCACAAAGTATTGAAATAATATTTTTAAACACCCTTTGTGTACTTGTGCCCTGTTTGTAACTTTATTATTCATGCTTCTGCTTGTTTCCATTGGTCAGAAGAAGAAGAAGAACATGGTGTGCGTGTGTGGATGAATTTATGATGGAGAATGTCATCATGCATGCTTTGTATATGGTAGTGATTATGGAGTGGTTTTAGGTAAAATTTTGCTATGGTCATGTTTATGATCATCTTTGTTTGATGAGGCCTGTCAGTTTTATATTGATGTTATATTTGGCAGTTCTGCTGCATTGATTAATTGTTACTATGTTTTATTGTTTTTTTGCGCAACTTTTATGTAATATTCTTAACAATGTGATTTTTGTTTCACCATGGTGTCGCACTACACTAACTTATTTACACTGGTAGTAGACATGTTTTGGCCACACACTGCCGTCATCAGGTACAGCTGTATGTTGTGTGTTGGAGCATTGTGTTGTTCTCTCGTTGAGTGAAGCATCGATTACAATTGAAATTACAATCATTAATTAAGAAGTCAAGTTGAAAGTTAAAATCCAAGTTTTGTCACTTAGACGTTGAAGAAATTTATGAACTTGTTGTATGTAAGTTTCAGGTACAGCTTTTTTCGTTGTATTTATTGGGTGTAGTGTTTGGGGCCGGTGTATGAAAACCACTGAAATGTACAATGAGGACCGTGGGGGGGGGGNGGGGGGGGGGAGCTGTTTCTCAATGATATAGTGGCAGGAGCATGAAGCTGGCCAGTCACTTCCGTCTGGAGGCAAAGTTAAGAACGATAGAGCGATACCTTCACTCTCCACTCAATCTGTATGGTGTGCTTAAGGAATTAAGCAGAGGCATAACTTTCCCATTACTCTATGGAGTTCCTTAGTGTATCCAGAAGAAAAGATATCCAAAGATGGGAATAAATCTTGTGAGCTCTTAATTCTGGTTTCTTCTGAATTCTTTATGTTGTGCAGTAAGGATGCTTTGAGGGCTGCCAGTATTGGTTATCTTTGTTTAGGACTTCTAATGTTGTACAACAGATGATTGAGGCCAAACTCATCCGTGTAGAATTTCAATGTTGGGTTCTTGTTCCCAGCAGCTGTCTCCTGTGGCAGCAGCAGTGCCAGTAGCAGTGGCCTCTGCAGATCGGTTCTGCTGGTTATGTCACAAAGACGGGGTAGTAATCAACTGCGAGACATGTCCCCGTGTGTACCACTTACGTTGCATCCAGCTGGAAGCTGCACCCACAGAAGATTGGGTCTGTCCAGAGTGCATTACTATCCTTCATGCAGAGAACACCGACACAAGGTGAGTACCCTTGTGGCTTAGAGATTTGTCGAGGTCAAGGAAAATACTAAAGTTAATACAGGGATCCTCTGTCTTCAAGAAAAAATACATTCCTGAGATGACTGCCGTTAAGGTCGTGAGCTCTGATAAATATATATCTCTGTGCATATGTACTGGTATGGAAGATCATATAAGACCTACCACATAAAATGTTTCAAAGACTGGATAAATGAAGTTGCCTACTTTCTTGACATGTGGCTTATTTTATGAAGCTGTGAGTAGCAGACCATATAGCACTTAATGGTAGATTGACCTATGAATGATGAATTGGAAAGGGTTTGGAAGGAAGTGTTCGTGGCCTAATTGAGATACTATCTCAAAATTTGCAGGGGCTGAGGAAAACCAAAAAGGCCTCAGTCAGTCTAGACAATGTCCAGGCTGAGATCTGAACCAAGCATCTCCTGATTGTAAACATGTAGCTTGGCTGCTGTACCGATCTGTGTGGTCAAACAGAACTGTGAACAATAAATTAATGTATAAGTAACTTGTATAGTAGGTCTAGATGAGTATTTTATCAAATTTTTGAAGAGTCTAAACTGGAAACTTTCCAAACCATTTCTCTTGCCATCTGATATATTTGTATGAGACAGAGTCAGTAAATAGGTCACGAATGGATATAACATGTAAAACATGTTATATTTGAACGTGGGAAAAAAAAGAAATATTTCTCAACATATCCTCCACCAACATTGATACACTTGTCCCATCGCAGCACAGAAGCCACTTCCACCAATGTGGTTTTTTGATGGACCAAACAGATGGAAGTCACTAGGATCCAAGTGTGGGCTGTAGGGCAGATGTTTAAAAAGTTCACACTGTAGTTCTTGAATTCTCTACTGGGTTGCTGGGGGTGTATGGGGTCTGGCAGTGTCAGTTGGCCTGGATGTTTTCTGCAAATTGCAACCCAATGTTTCAACAGAACTTCACAGCAAAATGCAGAATTCACATTTTCTCCACACTTCTGAAAATGGGCTAACAGTACTCCCTCAGAATTCCAAAACCTTCCCAGCTGATGGTGTACCCTTAAACTTTTTGGTTGAACGAGAAGGTTAACAGGGATGTTTCCATCTTGCATACAGTACAAGATGTTGCAAGGACCTGTTTGGTTCATTTTTTCTTATTCCTTCAGTTTTCTGGGCACCCACCATGCAAACACTTTATTAGACTTCAAAGGATCATGCAGTATGCTAACCCACAGAAATGTCCTAATGCAGTTGCCACACTGTCTATCGTTATCCTCCTGTTAGTTCGAATCAGCTCCTCCACCCACTGCACATTTGATTCTGTCGCAGTCTTATCAGGGAAACCTGGTTGGTCATCATCTGCGACTTTCGAACTTGTTTGAGGGAATATATCTACCCAGTTTTGAACCGCCTTACATGACAAGCACTTCCCACTATGAACAAGAAACATTTTTTTATGAATATCCTTTGCATTGAGTCCTTTTGCCCACAAAAGACGCATAACAGAATTCTGCTCATTGGTAGTATACTCCTCGAGCATGGTCACCATTTTGACAGCTGAAACCAGCCCTTGAATATGAGCATGGACGTCTGTTACCTAGCCTGTCATGAAGCTGGACTGTGCTGGTACCGCATAGAAAACCTATTTGATCCATAACAGCTGTTTTAATTCAAACAGTCCTTAAGGTGAGGGCACACTCAGCTTCCTTGTTAGAAGAACTGCCATCATTATGGCCACCTGGAGTGGCAGCAGAGGACTGCATGCTGTAACATGTGCCACTGGCCGCACCACAGCTCAAGCCGTTAGTCGCTGACTTCCCACCGCGGCAGCCAGGGTTCGATCCCGGGTCTGGTCAAGTGGGATTTGTGGTGGACAAAGTGGTGCTGGGGCGGGTTTCCTCCAAGTACTTCGGTTTCCCCTGCCAATCTTTATTCCACCAAATTCTCCATCATCATAATCACCCAGGGCAGGTACAGTAGGCCAGTCAGTGGCCACCTTTGCCAAATGAACCCAGTTGGACTCCACCCCCCAGTAAGCGAATTTTATGCACAGGGACAACTTTTCTTTTACATTGCCTTTACCTGTGTCTGTAGCTAAGTACTTTGCATATGGCATCTTTGCAATAAAACTACAAGATCTGATACAGTTAGATGAATTTTATTCTCATGATCCACTATCATGATTGGGGGAAGTCAGGATGTGAACAGCAATAAGTAATAGAACAACAAAACACAGTCCTTTCACAAAGAATATCCATAATGAGGTGCAGCGATCAGCTATTACATCATGTAGGTCCAACACAAATTCAGTGGTTTATGGTGTTTGAGTATTGCTGTGTTTACTTATTTTTATGGTTTATTTAATGAGGCTGTCAGTAGCTCAAACTATATAGTAGGAGTAGCTGAATTCGCTGGACAGCAATGCTGCATACGTTAATTTTCAGTAGTTGAGGAGCCCGAAACAGCTGTGAACTAAATGGCACAGGTGTGCAGGAACAGGCTTGTCATGCAATAGGTTTTTGTATGTAATCCATTTGTAAAAGTAGGTTAACTAATGTTTCTTTTGTGAGCCACACTAACAGTGCAGAAGAGCCACATTGTAGTTCATGGGCCACACTTAAAATAAAAGAGAGCCACATGTAGCACATGAGCCACACTAATGGTGAAAAAACTGCATATAGCTCATTAGCCACACTAATGATTCAGAAGAATCACATATAGCTCATGAGCCACAGTAAAGGTGAAAAAGAGCCACTTATAGCTAATGAACCACACTAATGGTGAGCTACACTGTTAGTGCAGAAGAGCCAAATATAGCTCATGAACCACACTAATGGTACAGAAGAGCTACATATAGGTAATGAGCCATGCAGAAGAGCCACATATAGCTCATGAGCCAAACAAATGGTGCGGAAGAGCCACATATAGCTCACAAGCCACCGTTTGCTACATCTTCAATAAACTCAATTGATAGTATTTGGAAGGAAATTGTCTTGACTTTATATAAGATACTAGACCCGCATTTGCCTAGAAGAATGAAGAGAATTACGAGATGTCAGTCAGGATAGCCTGTCTTTAGGGCGAGATTCTATCCTGGGGCTTCCCAAATATGAAGCAGGAGTGCTATCCATCCAGTCCTAATGTTCAGTGGGTCTTATGCTATATTTAGGTTCTTAGTCTGAGGTGTGTTTTAAAAGATGAGCAACAGAAGAAATTTTTATACAGAGTTACAGACTTTACCATATGATTCAGTTCTTTCTATATTCATAATAATCGGGGTAGGGGTGAGACATTGAACACGCTGTGGCAGAGACCATGGTAGAGGGTGTGTGGTATATGTACTTTCCATCTACTTATGATTGTGCATTGATACTTTTGGAGATGTTAAAAGAAAGAGACTTTGACTAAATGTACTATGTTGTGTTCTACATGAAACAAGTTTTATGACTGAGCACTCTGGCAGGCAGCTTCCTGCAACATACTTTAGAAAGTTGAGCCATGTATATGTCTTGCATAATGGACACAGAGTGGGTTCTGCTTCAAGTGTCAGTTGAGACGCTTGCCAAGGAAATGCCATGTAGAAAGTTACATTGAGTATGGAAGCCTCAGATTGTTCAGCTGGAGGGCAGGAAAAGAAAGAGTGCTACCACTCATTTAGTTGATGGTGCTCCTGCTTTGCCCCATTCAGATGTGTGCAGTGTTGCCACTGTATTGAAGGTACTTGTTGCCTCCATCTTCAGGATCAAACCGAGAAGGACAAATGAAGAGGCATCGTATGTATGTGTATGTGTGTGTGTGTGTGTATGTGTATATATATTCATCAGTAATCTGTCAGACGACAGGTCCACAGTCTCTTCCAAAACAGTTCCTCCATTTAATGCGATCTAGAGCTTTCTCCTTCAAATAGAAATAAAAATATCCTATTCTTCCCCCAAGATCATCCAGCATCTTCTTACGTCTTCTTCCTCGTCTTCTGGATCTCGCATACCTGGTATCTCTGCTTTTGGAAAGAGACTATCCAGGAAGTGATAATGTGGTAATTTCTCCATTTACTTTCCACATCACATTACAACAGCCGTTCAAGCCACTCTGGTCACACCTGTTGCTATACAAACTTGAACCATCTCGAGCATCATTTGCTCTGTGCTTCAAGTCGCTGCTGATGACGCTGCTTCCGGCATCAGTTTTTGGTTTTTGGTGTGTCTCTTTGTCTGATGCCTACCCTTTGACCTGTCCTGCAAGGGAGGCCCTGCCAGTAGCTACACTACCGCTGGTATAGCTCTCAGGGTCCTTGGTATACTCAAACCCCCTCGCCAGGATAAGGTGGAGACACCAAGGAGGGGAATATATATATAAATAACATCGCACCATGAAAACCAAAAATCAGCACCAGCGAAGGTGTAGACATATCTTCAGAAATATCTAAATTGATCCCAGGGCCATAATGAGGCTGGAAGGATTAGGTCATTTGAACAATGCAGTGACCTCATCAAGAACTGAACATGTGACTTTCCGGCTTGTAGCATAGTGCCTTAACAAACTATGCTGCCACGAAAGCGTAAATAATAACCATACCAGAATTTTTTTCACAAAACAAATGAGCTCTATGCTAACATCTGAGTTTAATGCGAAAAGGTTGGTGTTTTTAATCCAGTTTGTGATTTGCTGTAGTTCCTCAAAAGTCATTGTCAGGATATATCTTAAAATACACCAGGAATTAATCCTCCATTGCCCATCTCATTCATCAGCCCTCTTTTGGGAAAAAGGGGAGGAATTTTGTATGCTCTCAGGATCTAGAGTATACGTATAATAACATTTTATTCAGAGGAAAAATGTGGCAGTATAAACTTACAAATAAGGCATATAAGGAACAAAAGCATTCAGCATGGGTCCACAAATAGGTGCCATGTGTACTTATGTACAGGCAGGCTCATTCTTTGGATAACAGCCATACTGCAGCCTGTTCATAAATGAGAGGCTACCTGTTGTCTGGCTCCT